CTACACCTCTGCCAAGAAATTCATTGACAAAAACTAACCACAGTCCATATTTTGTGGAAATTGATGGTCGCCGATGTACAGAAAAGGATAAGGCACTTATTCTTTTTTTCATTTTTTAATGGCTGATGATGCAGAAAATAAATGAAAAATGTTTTTATATTTTATGTTTTACAAAAATGCAATATACATAGATACAAAACATTTACACATGTCAGCACACATATGCCACAAAATTTTGATTCAGCTAATCGAAAAAATATATTAAAACTGTTTTTTACGAGATTTTGCATCAGAAAATATTTGTATTGTTTCATCAAAGTTAATATTTCTCGCCACTGTGTTTTCAGTTGATAGGATTGCTAAGCCATTAAGTCTTGCTTGACTCATTGTCGAACGAAGATAACTTTTAATCAGCTTCAATTTTGAAAAGCTTCTTTCGCAAGAAGAAATTGAAGCGCACACTGTCAAAAAAATCTTTAAAGCTAAACATAAGTTTGGAACTGACTCGTGTAAATCAGTTTCTATTATATAGGTTAACATTTTCAATGAAGACCATTTTTTAACATCATCTTTCTCAATTTTTCCTGCTTGAAGATGACGTCTTAATCGTTTAATTTCGGGTATCATTTCATTTTCTTCTAGTTCATCAAACGTTTCTGTCAGATTTGGTATCTATCAGCTTTGAAAGTTCTTCTATCTCCATTCCAATAAGATGTGATGATTGAATGGCTGCAAATTTTACAAATACATTTTGCATTGATTCTATCCTTTTTCTAAGATCTTGATAAAAATTATCAAGTGACTGAAACATTGATCGTCTCAATTCCTGTTTCAACGTTAAAGCTTTATCTTTACTTTCTTCTCCAGGCATAAGCTTTCTTTGACTTTTTCGACCCAATTTTTCTGTAGCTATTCCCATTTCTTCACAAATTTTTGTAGAAAATATCAATGCATTTTCAACCAATTCATCGCGACTCTCATGCAGAAAAAGTTTTAAGGTATCTAATTTTTCAATGGTTTTATCTAAACCAATTCCTTCTGTTTGCAAGTATTTTTGAGTATGATTGACTTCCTCAAGAGTACTGCTCCAGAAATGAAGATAAGCAAGAAATTTGAAATCTTGAATATTTTTCATTAAAATTTGAGCTGAACCTCTCGTATCTACATTTTCTGATGGATCACATAATTTTTCTAAAGCCTGTACCAACTTGCTGAAATGATTCATTACAGGTTTCACCGCATGATATTGCTCACTCCACCTGGTTCCTGCTAGCCTTTTTGCAGTGATCCCGACTATTTCTGACAATATATCCCATCTATGAGTTGATGAAAGAAAGAAGTTGTAAATGCTTTCAATTGTTCCAAAAAACGTTACACATGTTGGATTGCTTCCATATGCGTGAACCCCGCTCAAGTTAAGTGAATGATTAGAACAAGGTACAAATAAAATTTTCTGATTTATTTGATGGATCCTGGCTTGTACCCCAGAATGAACACCTGACATTACCGAAGCATTGTCATAACCTTGGCTTTGACATAGGTTTATGTTCAAACCTTCTTCATCAATAATATTTACAATTCTTTGTGTGATATCAATAGCCTTCTTTCTGACAAGAGGAAAAAATCCTAAAAATGATTCTCTTACCTCTACATTTTTGTTTTTTATATGAACATATCTAATAATCTCACTTAATTGGTCTTGGTGAGATATATCAGGTGTTGAATCTAACATTATCCCGTAATACTTTGCTTGCTTTACATCATCAATAATTTTCTGTTTCACAGTATCTCCCAATATAGAAATAAATTCATTCTGAATTTTAGGGGAAAGATATGAAATCGTGTTTCCTGCCTTGCTATGTTGGACCCTCACTAAATGTTCTTTTAAGACAGAGTCGTAGTGTGAAATTAATTCAACTAACTCTAAGAAATTGCCTTTGTTGTTAGAAAAGTCATCTTCTCTGTGGCCTCGAAAAGGTATATTTTGTTTTGCTAGAAACATGGTGACATCCAATAAGCGGTGTAAAATGTCATTCCATTTTTTAGTTTCCAGTTCTCGATTTTCTTGATGAACGGCATCAATGGTTTTATTAAGATTCAAACTTAGTTCTAATGTTTTCCATTTTTCATGATTGTTTAAGTGAATTTCAGAATTTTCGTGATGTGAAATCTTAGGGTTTAGTTTCCACTAATTATTAAACCCTGTAACAAATTTTGAAAAATTATTACTTTCTTTATCACAAGCAGCAAAAAGTCGACAACAAAAGCAAAATAAACATTTTTTGGAAAGAGAATAAACCATCCACTTTCTGAGAACTTTTTCACCATTTGGAAGATGCTTGTAGAACCAATGCTTTGTCAACTGTCGAGTTTGACGCTTTGTTTGCTTCCCTACTCTTTGAACCACTCTAAATGGACCATTTTTGTTCTGGAAATATTCACTCTTTAGTTTTACTATACTGATTCTGATGTTATCTGATAACGGAATTGTCCAATTTCCCACATCACAATTTAAAAAAATATCATTTTCACTAGAAAAATTGATTTCACCCATTGGTTTGACGTTTCAGTTTCGGTGGTTGTTTTTCCTTGGTCAGATTCTTCGGTTGTATCTAAATCAGTCTGCTGACTTGATGAACTAGCAATAATGGATTCTGGTTTGGCAACTTGGTTAACAAATTTAAGCATTGATCCAGACAGAGCTTCGGTTTCTTCCCTTCTACTTTTCAAAATTTTTCGTTTTTGTGCTCCACTTGGATGATGTCTCTTCATTATCACGTATCTATCTAAAAGTTGATAGTATTTTAATTCTAATAATTTATTTTAACTTCAGGGCTTAAAATATAATTTAAAAAATTAAAAGTGAAAAAAAATGGTGTAACATCAGTCACGTAAACCGAGGAGAACAGATATCCGTCTTTACCTATCAACACTTTTTGTACCTTAGATTTAAACTAGTGAGTCAGTACCGGTGGGTGAAAGTATATTTTCTGTTTTTCTTACCTGAAAGATAGTAGTTATATTTAAACTTATTAAAGTAGAGATTGATAAATATATAAATAAAATTTAAAACTCACTCTAATAAACCAAACGGAACAGACAACAAAAAAAGTTTGAAAAAGCCGACTCGTCCAAAAACTATATCAACCAATCACATTCAAGTATAATGATGTCAATGTCCGACTAAATATAGACGTGGATTACCAATTCGGTCAGGATTTTAAAAAAGCGTTTATTCTAACTAAGTATATGCATTACTACAGATTATTTATAAATAAATATATTAAAAAATCAAGACACAAAATCACGTCTATACACTTACTAAATAAATAAATAATTTAAAAATTTTCGTAATTGGCTTTTGGAGGCCTCCTCCAAATCGGAGGCCCGGGGCGATCCGCCCCCCTCGCCCCCCTCCTCGGTACGCCAGTGAAGTGGTCACGTTTCAATTTATTTTTTAAGTAGGTTCAAGCTTGTAGGCGAATGGAGAAAATTTTAATACAAAGTGTTTTTCATCCTGGTAATTTTTTGAATTCGGTGGTAACCCAAGGATTTTGTTTTCGCATTTTTCGTATTTTTTTCTGTTGGTGATCTTGCAGCATTTTCGAAAGCAAGTTGAGAAGTGTTCAATGAAATGTTCGAATATCGAGTGTACATCATCCTAATCATAGGGTGCTTCTCAGTTAATTGAATTCAAATCATTGCACAAGTTTAATTTTTTAGAGGTTGAACACGAAAATTTGCTGATTGGTTGCTCAGAATTCAATGCTTATTTGTATCTCGTTTTTTTGGTCTGTGCAGGATTCATTCAATATCAAGAAAATTGGTAAGCGATCAGATAAATTTTAACTTTCAATATGGCTTCTTCAAGGTTTGTTAAGTATTTATTTAAATCATGGGGTTCTGTGATTTAAACCATCAATAATTTATTGCGACTCGGTGAATTATTAACAATTTCTAAAACAGTGATTTCAATGTCAGTGGGTAACTTATTGTTAATGGCCTCTCTAATTTTGAAAATTAAATTATTTTTTAAAGTAAAAACCAATACATCCGCCTAATTTATTGCTTCGATGTTTACTCTTGAATCCTTACCCAGTCATGTCGACTAAAGATTTGTTGACATCACGAAGCCACGTTTCCGTAATGGCAATAACATCAAACTGAACATTTATTTCTTGAAGGAAGTCACTTAGCTCATCTGATTTGTTCAACAAACTTCTGACATTTAAATGGAGTAAAGCGAACGTATTTTCCTTGTTACAATTTTTTCTTTTTTTATGTTAGAACATAAACCTGCGTTGAAGTTAAAGTTGGCCGGTAAACAATGAATTAGTAACCGCTGAAACAACCGACTGGTGTTAATTAAGTGTATCCATTATATACGCTTGCTGGTGATTTAAGAAATTATTAATTTCTTTATTAATTCATTCAAAAATTAAAGTTTACCAAGTTGGTAATTGAAGAAATTTTAGCCATATTTGCGCCTACAAATAACGTAATTTTATTCAAAAGGTTACTGATTTTGAGCTGATTTAAGAGAAAAGTACATTCCAATATTTTATCCTTCTGTGTATTTTCTTTAGAAGTGTATTTTTCTAGTTTCTAGCATTTTATGTTGACTTGCATCAGTTTTCAACAATTTCTAAACAACATTAACATCTTCGAAATGATAGAATTCCGAAATATCTATAGTGAAACTATCGTCAACAAAAAAACTGAAATTATTGGATCAAAAATTCATTCACAATAACTGTTCTATTCGGCATTTTCCCCTCCAATCAATATGTCACTCATTCTCTGTAGTCGTATTTTCATGTTTGTTATCATCATCCCTTTTACCTTGTTAGTTGCAAAATGTTTCGCCATTTACATGAATAACACAATGGTCATGTCTTAACAACATCATTGCCATCATCTTTATCATCATCGTCGTCATCATCCTCATTTCGCCGTCACCATGACTTCATAATTATCATCTTAATCATTGATGTCATGAGAATGTAGAGAATGACATGGAGATAGAGAGGAAGACCTACTTGCAGTCACAGATGGGTCTCGATCAACTCTACTTGGATGCTCAGAAGAATTTCAATGAAGAAGTTCATTTGAGATTGGTTGGTTGGTTTGTTGGCTGACTGGTTGGTTGGTTGGCTGGCTGGCTGGTTAGTTGGTTGGCTGGCTGGTTAGTTGGATTTTGGTTGGTGATTGACTGACTGATTGTTTGATTTGATTTGTTGCGATTCGCACCACCCTCTCATGACCGTGCACACCACACAAACTCAACTTCAGGAGATTGAAAAGGAATTGAGCCACCAGATAAGTTTGAAGCAGGAGATGGAGGTGGGCATGAAGTTGTTGGAGACCGATGTGCACAAGAAACAGGACCTCATCGTCTCACTGAGGAAACAACTTGAGGACATCAAATCAATCAATGTCAAACTTTCTGACGATAATAAGGTCCGCTTTTCTTCACCTTGCAATTTCGATTTTATTGATCAGTTAATTTATCAGTTTCAACGGATAATTATTGTTTATGTTTCAAATAGAATTAAATTAATGACCAGCTCAGATGCGCAATGTGTAGCGATTGACCACTGTTTATTTCAATTGTTGGTAGTTGATTAACATTGAGCAATGAGTAGGGCGTCGTCGGAGTTTTGCAGGAGTCGGATTTTTTGGAGTGACTAGATTCAGATATATATATATATTGGAAGTGTTGAAGAGATGTAACAGTGTTTCTCACTTTGGTGTTGCTGTGAAATTTGCATCAGTACGATATCTTTGAACTGTCACAAACAATAAATAATACAGTGATGTAAAAGATTATATAATTCTCTTTTATTTTTTTAAAACGTAAATTTAGTTGAAATAATTTTCTAAAACAAAGAATAACATCAAGTGATTTCAAGTGTTTCTTAAACAATCTTTTATTTTGTTATGTAGTGGTAGTAAATTGAGCAGTCGGAGTTGGAAATAATTGTCCTCCTACTCCGACGCTTTGGTAATAGCATCGTACTTAGTAGAACGTGGAACTGATGCATTATTGATGCATTTATAGATGATGGATGAGTATGTACGGTCAATTATATAGTTTCAATCAATCGTTGTCCATTTAAGAGTAATCTCTAAGCGTTTCTATAGAATAACTTTTAAATGTTTGTGTAGTATATTTTAAAACATTCAATTCAGTGCAAAAGCAAAAAATTTTGAACGAACAACATAGGAACTTGAAAGCATGCATACACACAAAGTTGACATGCTAACGAAACTTGAGTTCAAGTGCTCACAAATGTGCTCCGCCATAAAAGACCTTGAAAACGAGTTCGTGATGCCACTTTTGTTATTTATTTAAGCAGTTATAATATTTTATTACACATTTTTCATCTGCTCATTTGAAAATTTAGAATGGAGGCTCAGAAATCGAACAAAGTGCACAGCGTAGAAACCATGAAGCAATATGAACAACAGATTTATGAACATGAAAATTTAAAGTAGGCATCATACCTTCTACACACGTTTCAATAATAATAATTTATTCAGGTTACTGGATCCTTGCACTCCAGATATTTTAACCTCGAGGTCATCTCTCATTGACTGCCCATCTCTCTCTTTCTTTTTTTTTTAACACGAAAGCCTAATCGACGCGGAACCTGTCTATGTATCGTCTATTACTCTATTAAACTTGCATTCTAAATTTTCAATCTGTTAATCATCGGCTCTTGTTGTCGTGATTATTGAACAATGATTGAAATCGAAAGATGAACTATTGAATGGCTGGCTAGATAGTTGGTTGGTTGATCTTGGTTGACTGACCTTGATTGATTGATTGATTGATTGATTGATTGATTGATTGATTGATTGATTGATTGATTGATTGATTGATTGATTGATTGATTGATCGATTCATCGATTCATCGATTGATTGATCGATCGATCGATCGATCGATTGATTGATCGATCGATTGATTGATTGATTGATTGATTGATTGATTGATTGATTGATTGATTGATTGATTGATTGATATATTGTTGTATTGATTGTTGATTGCAGATTGTCATTAGAAACTAGTTTAAAAAATGAGAAAGATCATAATGCGATGCTGGTGAGAACTTTGGAGGAGGAGAGAAAAAAAATGGTGGAGGTGCAGATGCAACTTCAGTTCATGAACAAGATCAAGCAGGTATTTTTTTATTTGTTTATTTGTTTGTTTGTTTGTTTGTTTGTTTGTTTGTTTGTTTGTTTGTTTGTTTGTTTGTTTGTTTGTTTGTTTGTTTGTTTGTTTGTTTGTTTTTGTCTCATTGCGTCCTTCCGTGATTTATGTTGAATATAGATTTATAGTTTGACGTTCAATAAAGAAATTGTGTGTATAAGCATTGTAAATTTTTGGATTGTTTTGACGATTTTAATTTTAAGGAAAACGAATCGTTGAAGATAAAGTTGAAAGAACTTGAGGTGCGGTGTATGGAGCAAGAAGATGCTCTGACCGAACTGGGATCCCATCTTATTCAGTTTGTTTCGTCATTTGTGTTCGTTTGAAATTAGTATGGATGCCCTGAATTAACATAACGTAATGTATGAGTGAATGCGTTATGGTAAGGTGGGATCATCGAAATGCAATTGCTTGGAATTTTTGCCGCTGGAGTTACTGCTGTCAATCGCAGTTGTTTTTTATTAAATGTCGTATTTAACTGTACGAAGAAGGAGCTGATATTTTTGGTGAACTTCTATAAAACTTCTGTGAACATCTGTACGAACCAGCACGAAGTTGAAGGTGGAGAACATGAAGGAGGAACAGCTGGTGACGAAGGATGCGCAGTGGGCCGACGACAAGGAGATCACCAACTGCACTCAGTGCCAGAAACAGTTCTCTGTCTCCAGAAGGAAGGTTCCACTGACTTCCTCTTTATTGTATTTTCTGTATATTTTATAATCTTATCATAGCATTTTACTCTTTGAGGATTTTTATAACTGTAAATAATAATATTTTATCCTCTGAATTTATGGTCGCAGATCTTTATTGATCCTCAAGCTTAATGCTCACCGACGTAATTCCAATTAAATTTTTACGGCGTGCCGCTTCTAAAGTACTTGCCCGTTCATCGCATTCCCATGTCAATCCGTAACATTGACATATTAAAGCTTCAAAAATAATTATTTTGTGGTTCAAAGTGTTTATGATGAACATCCTGCCAATATTTTGAGAAATATTGATCACTCCTCAAATACTTAATGCCAACCTTACAAAATTGCTATGCCATTTTAGTTTGCAATGCCATTTGAGTTTTCAATTTAAGCATTTTCCTATGGTGTTTTTATTTGATATATAATGTGTAAAGTTTTTATATTGTGATCAATCATTGGCGATATGATAACTGATGATGCATGAACATGAAGCACCACTGCAGGAACTGTGGCGAGATCTTCTGCAACGACTGCTCCAACACCAAAATGCCCCTGCCATCCTACGCCAAACCTGTCCGCGTCTGTGATGCCTGTTGTACTAAACTGCTTAAAAAATCATGCACTTCCTGATTTTTATTTGAACTTTTTAAATATTTCAAATGTTGTTACTAAATTGTGATTATATAAATTTCTGTCGATATTGTACAATTTCATTTCTTGGTGATTATTGAAGCATATGAACGTTAAAGTTAAACGATGCAAAACTATTTTTGAATCACACAGATTAAAACAGTTGAATGTTTGATTGGCTTTATTTATTTTTTTTTAAACTATAAGAATATTGGTTTAATAAAAAATGAAAATGACAAACGTTTGGATGATGTTCAAACCAATGAATTTGAAGGCTTAATTTTAAATGTTAGCCCGGAAACTATACTGCCATTACGCTCCGGTTTTAGTTTTCGAAGGTTTGCTATCCTTATCCACTATTCGTACGCTCTCTCCCGAACGTTCACTGCTGATGTTGTCTGTGGATTGCATGAAAGAGTACTATAATTTCATCACTCGAACAGTTTCAATTGTGGCGTGTCTGTCACGTTTCGCGCGCCCGGCTGGGTCGCACAATACAAAACAAGCTGTAAATTCCCAATGCTCACTCTATTTGATGCGATTTTAATCTATGGACGACCTTTCAACCGACTGCAGCGTTGTGACACAAAACCTCTTATACTAGCACGTGAACAGAAGATGTGAACAGACGCACACGTTTTTCAGCCGTTCTCCACTTCTCAAGGTTGTATAAGAAGTAAGATTATTAAACCTGAAGTTTGAAATCGTGTCTCAAATAAATCATTAAGTAAAGTTGCGAACATTATTAAGTTTAAAATTAATATATCTGTTGTTTTATTAGCAGTGTATAAGCCATGTAATGTTTCCATATCAGCTGTATTTTACTGAACTTTTGATGTTTTAAAAAAGATAACTCGTGTGTTCCAAGGTTATTGCTGCTGGTGATTTTAATGTTCATTTGCATAAGCGTAATGATCCACATATTCTTCCTGCTTGGCATTTTCTATTTATTTCACTTGGTTGATAAGGTTAATGAGCGAACTTAGGTGCTATTTTAGATGCTAGTTTTTATATCTGATAATTTTTCTGATTATGTGACATTTTCTTATGGCGCTCTTCTGCTCTCTCTTTGGTTAGAGTTTGTTTGTCAATTAAGCGTCCATGTCATGCTTATTCTTCGAAAATTGTTCATTCTTGGAAGCTATGAATGTCGATAAATTTATCTTATTAGTTCGTGAATCTCCTATTAGTAAACCACGCCATGATGATAACGTTGATGAAGTTTAACAATTGTTTGGTAATGAATTATTATAAAGGATGGGTTGCTTCTCTTCATCAAGTGCATAGTAGATGCTATTCATTAGCTCCATGGCATGAGTTTGAGCATAGACGATATAAGGCGTCTCGCAGAATTGATTAATTAGCCAAAGTTGTGTTGATGAGCAGGGTCGTTGGTGCAATAGAAGAGGTGTGGCACATCGTGCGGGTGAGGATTGCAAAAAGGAAGAATGATGTTTTTTAATTTTGATTTAAAGCTAATGAGGAGGATGTATGTGTGAATGATAAAATGCATGTATTGTATGAATGGATCTATGTGTAATTTCTTTTGACTTTAATATTCTATCTGTTATTTGAATTCACTAGATTTAAATAATGTTATTGATTTATATGTACTTATAGAATTTTTGTTATCTTTATTGGTTATCTGTGTTTAATAGTTATATAGAGGTAATTATGTTTTAATTATCTTACATTAAATAATAATAAAATAAATAAAAATAAATAAAATAAAAAATAAAATAAATAAATAAATAAAAATAAGCTACAGTGGAGAGAATACTTCAACCGTCTGTTAAATGAAACAAATCTCATTAATGTCAACTTTGACGCTCCACCCATCAAAGGTCCGATTTCAGACATCACTTGTAGGAGCTTACAGAAGCTCTGAAAGCTATGAAGGATGGAAAGACAGCAAGGCCCTCTGGACTCACAAATGACATCTGGTACTGCAGGTATCCAAACGTTACTACAACTTTGCCGTGAAATCTGGAGAAATTGCTCAATGCCGACTGAATGGAACTTTAGCATGACAGTCCCGCTATACAAAGGCAAAGGTGATCCATTGAACTGTTCATCATATCGGGGTATACGTCTGTTAGAACACTCCTTGAAAATTGACGAGAAAATTATTGAGAGAAGATTAACGTCGCGCATCACAATCGGCAGAAATGGGCAAATTACACATTATATTGTAATTTCGATACAAATTACAAATTACAAATTACTCTAAATATTGTAATTTCGATACCAATTACAAATTACATTTAATAAAAGAGCCAAATTACTAATTACAAATTAATAATTTCAAATTACATGAAATTAAATTACATCAAACCAGTTTTGAATAAATAAAGAAAAAAATTTTCTTTGAAGTTATTTAAACATTGATTTTTTCTTTGCGTTGATATTTTTTTTTGAACAGTTTTATTTACAAAAGTAAAAAGGTTCATCCTAGCAATAAAATACTAATTTATGAATGGCCTCATGAACAGAATAAATCTCAATTTTTATATTCGTTTATTAAGTTACTTTCTTTCTATAAACAATTTGTTCAATCATTTAACGAATGACTGAAGAAAGAAAGACACTATTCACCACTACTTTTGATTTTGCATATTCTTTGATGTCATTTTCATATTCTTTTATTAATTTACTTTCCTTTCGATCAACAATTTGTTCAATCGTTTAATGAACGACTGAAGAAAGAAGGAAAGAAAGAAGGAAGGAAAGAAAGAAAAAAAAAAAGAAGCGTCAAACACCAAAGAAGTATACTTCTATAATGTAGCAATATGACCAAAAAACTTTAAGTAGCAAATGAAATTTTTAATCAAATAAATTTTCAGAATTTAAAAAAAAATTTAGAATATCAAGAAAAAAAATTTTCAATAATAATAATAATAATTTGTGTAAGTATATCTGTTCACTCAAATATAAGTTACATTTTTTAGTCAAAATGTAATTTGAAATTACTTTGAAATTACCAAATTGCATGAAAGATGAAATTACAAATTACCAATTACTTAAAAAGTAATTTCGATACAAATTACAATTGTAATTTGAATTACGTAATTTCATTACTTGAATTACATAACTGCCCATCTCAGACAATCGGAAATTATCAAGCAGCCTGGAATAAATGGCATCTCCTTGCCTCTATATTGATGCGTCGTGACATCCCACTAACACTACGGTCAAGACTTTATAAATCTGTGATACGTCTGGTGTTGTTATATGGTGCAGAAACATGGCCAATGACAACCAAACTGGAACAACAACTTCAACGAACCGACATGAAAATGCTCCGATGGATCATGGATGCAACGAATTAGTCTGAAGGACCACATCAAATCAACCGAAATCATGCGTCGTGATATAAAGGACGAATGCCGGCAACACCGTCTGCGGTGGTTTGGTCATGTCAAACGAAGTGGAAACAGTGGAAAATTTAAAGGGATTATCACAGATTAACCTTTTCCGATAAGAGAAAACGCTACTTGAATTTCTATAATTTAACCCAAGCCATCTCGTCTTCATACAAAAGTTGCGTTTTTTAAGACAATACTTTATAAAGTTAATATTAATTTGCAGTTAACTTAAAACGAAATCAGAAGAGGACATCTTAGATCTCTTCAAAAAGGCGTTGCTCAAGGTTCGGTACATACAACTGCGCCTTCACGACCTCACTAGTATTTGTAGCAATTTAGGCCCATTTTTGCACAAATTTTCCTCTCAATATCTACATTCTGACACTTTTTATGTGTATATAACTTATTTCACAAACGTACTTCCACCGCGAAGTTACACCGCGACTGACGCCACATGATTTGAAGTGAGACGAAACGAAAACGACCCGATCTTGAGTTTTCTTTTTTTTCAATTTTTATTGACACACATGACAAACGGAAATTAAGGTTGAATATATTTAAATTATGACGTCATTTAAACATGAATGAATGAGAAATTAATTGATAACTAGCTTGCAACGTAGCTATTAACAGTGAGTGCTGTACAATTCCTAGCAAGTTTAAAGGTATTTAACATGAAATCTAATAAATGAAAAACGAATAATTGAAAAATGATAATTGCGACGAGCGTTAGACTGTATAACTGCACCTTGCTACGGAGCCTGTTTTCAACGAGTTGTCCTTGTGAACCTGCCAGGGGTTATTATCAAAAAATACTATTGGGGTTACCAATCGGTATTATTCCTATCACTATTTAAAGATCAATTTTACTGAAAGCATTTAAAACTAAAATTTCGACATCTGTTTAAATCATCTCAGCAAATAGTTCATGGCAGGCATGAAACTGTAGTTTTTGAAAATGTGGTTATAAAGAAGATTCTCTCCGACCATAGATGATCCACTCGGACCATAGATGATTAACTTGGACCATAGATGATTAACTTTGACCACAGTTTCAGTTCTAATAAAGACCCGCTTTTAAGTAACAAAATTTTTGAAATGAATACTGATAATTCATAAAACTTGGGTAGCAAGATCAACTCCCAGAAACCTTTTTTATGGTTAAACTCAACTTAATTTGACAATCTTAAAATAATACCCAGTTCGACAGAAACAGCTGTTATCAATTAATTATACAAGTTTTTACAAATTTGGTCATCAAATATAAAGTAACCACATGCCTGATATTCCAGAGTGACTTCAGCGGATATGTTCAATCGAATTTTCAACATTTTTCTGCAAGATAGAACAAGTTTTTATTTAAAATAGAAATTTTAAAAAATACATTGTAGTTGGTTAAAATAAACATGGCATATACGCATGTCACAGTGGCCAAGCAAGATAATAATAACTGACCCTATTCTGATTATTGCATCCTTCTTTGAAGCATCTCTCGTCCACAAGCCCAACTTGTCACCCTTAGGCCGAATGTTGACGACTGCACCACATATCTCATCGCTCAATTCATCAAAGGCTTCTCCAATCAAGCAGAGCAGCTGCAGTTATTATCCATTAGAAAACATCAAATCGCATAACATCAAGTTATCAAAACACTAGCAAATATAATATACGCTGCTTAATAACAACAATCTTCGTTTACATAACTTCAAGAAAAAAACAACCTGAAATGAACTGATTTGAAATTCATAATAAATAATTCATAATTGATTCATAATAAATGTCAACCAACTAGATTGGACAATTAATAACTGAACTTTTTAGCTGACTAAAAATGGTGCCAAATAACTTTACTGAACCAAGTGGAATAATAAATAACAAGGCAATATGATATAGGAAGAGGATAAAAATGGATTAACTGTTTCCAGCCAGAATTTGTCAAGTTCAGTAGCTCTCTTGCGCTTGTCCAGATTAATAAGCCACCTACCCCCATCCCTGTTGTTCTCATCCTCCCACATTGGCTGGATACCCTCCTGGTTGGTTGGTTGGTTGGTTGCCACCACATCACATTCCATAATACCACAACATATGACTCATATTACGTAAACATCACACACAACATCACGACATTATATCACTGCCTCCATTGGTAAATTATCTATGACATTGAATGCATTTAATCGCATCATAACAACAAAGTAACTCTCCTCAAGCAGAGTTAACCTTTTGTTTTCAACACCTCCATTAATCATCAAACAACTAATTCCCACAGAAGATGTCAAGCAAGCAAAATGCATGAACGCTGTGATGGCAAGAGGTAAATGAACGATGATAACCTTGAAAAGTGAGTAATCACAGCCAGGAGCTATTTTGCTGGCTGACTGTATGTAGTTGTACACTCTGTAAATTTAAATTAACCTTTTTATGCAGAGTAATAAAATTTAATCATTGAGGCAAAATATTTTTAGTCTTGATCAGGTATTTTTCCATATAGTTAAAAACTAACATTATCGTAATTAGTATTTTTTATGATTCATATATTTTTATAATTTATGGCATATTTCATGATATTTTTCATTTATATTTAGTTTAAATTTAGCTTATAAGAGAATATTATGGGAGAGGTCATTCGTCTCATCCAAAGAATGCAGACTTATAATTAATGGATTGATATTTTAAAGAACAATAAATCAATCATCCATCAGTACTTCAAATTTATCAGCATTTCAAAAACTTGAGAAATTATCAAGATTTGAGACACTTACGCCCAAAAATCCTCTACAGTAGAGAAGGTAGCAATGACCTTCTGGTTGGCAGACCAATCATTTCTCTTGTCATTTTTGAAGTACCAGAGAGCCCAGACATTGTGCAGTGGATGTTTGATGTAGTTGTCAACATTCTGTCCGTCCACGCTCTCTTCCTCCTCTACCTCATCAAAATTTTTCTCCAAAACCTTATTTAACATTTTTAGAAATTTATAAAAAAAATAATTATCAAAAACCTTGAATTGAATGTGTAACACAAGTACGAAATGAAAACTCAATTAATGCAAGCAGATCAGCATATATTCAACATCCAACCTGAGGCACTTCTAATTTGATTTCATATGATTCCATAATTATTTTTAAATTCAAAGTCAATCTTATTTATTTTTCTGAATAAAGACAAAAATAGATATATATGTCATAATCCACCAATCTTTGTTGGTTAAGTAATAAAGTAGCATGATCATTTTAAACCAAATGCATTTGATTCCAAAAGAAACATCATATCTGAAACTTGTTGGCTTAGTACCTTCTTGATTGCTCAAAATCAGGCAAACTCGATGGATGACACTGAAATGAACGGCATGTAAGCAATAGGTCAGCTTTGATCATTTCCCACAGTCGAAACATAAAAAAAAACTGGATCCTTCCAAACTGTAACTTTAACTGATTCAGATATAGCATTATAAGTCAATGAGATATTTAGCTCCTGTCTATAAACTTTCACTCGGATTGTATGATATAGAAGTATACTGTATAAATGTATGAGAGACAGGAAAACTAAAATGTTCACATGAAGTCAAAGTCCGTGAAAATGAATACCAATTAAAAAATTTTTGTTTTTATGGTATGTAAAAATGGAATTCTTCCTTTGAATACATTAAATCTTACTTTACTTTTAGACCATTCAAACAAACGCTAAAAACTTTTTACATTGTCTATTATAGAATATTATTATAATTTCCCTAAATATTTGGCTATGTTTCAATCCTCAGAATTTGAAGGATGGAGATTTGCGGTGGTTATGGCAGAAGTTTGGAGCTCACTTCCTGTGCAACTGAAGAGTAGTTTTGATATTGATTTAATTAAAGTGGCAATGTGGACCTTGGGTGTGTTTCTGGAGTATTCTTGTAGAATCAGTGTATGAAGTCAGATACAAACATAGATACTTTTTGATGATTCATTTTTTAAAGTGATTTTAATTTTTATATGACATCTATTTTATCAACTTCATCATCAAGCAATCTCGACCAACAAAGACATTTATAAATGTTGTTTTGCTTTTACATAGTGAATATATTTATGTTTCAGTAGGAGGGAGTCAATTGTATCTTTAAAATGGTAACAAAATTTAAATTAATATATGGAAAATGTAGTAACAAGTATAATGAACTGTCAGAAAAAATATACAAACTGTATAGTATATATACACATATATACAATAATATACAATAATACACATACAATACATACAGCCTTTATTATAAACAACACATACATACAAAAATTACTCACTATCTATTACAATGTTCAATGATAAAATGTACTTGTTAACAATTTAATAAACAAAAAGCTGGTGTAATCTGTAATCAATGTAAAAAAGCCAAGGTAAAAGAAAAAGCAATATGATCAAATTCAAATAAATTAAAAAATTTAAATAAAATCACGGAAAATGCAAGATAATGATATGAAGCGTCACTTATCTATCCCAACTCTAATCTGATCTGCTGCACGCTAAACTAACTAAAGCCTAATGCCCTAGCCTAATTAATAAAAATTTCTAGAATAAATGGAAAAATTTACCTCGACGCAATCCATTTAATTTTTTAATTCAACTTCGGAATAAATCTAACCGGACTCGTAAACATGAAATAGCAAAAAGAAATTAACGAAGGAAACATGTGCTGATTCAATTGTTTTAGTTTCATGTTCGCTTTTAGCTCCTTTTTTTGAAACGTATTTGAAATACTTTCATATTTGTTATTATTTAAATCATAATGAAATTGTAAAAATACATTTTTAAAAAATAAAAAACTAATATTTAACGTTATTAATATATTTAAATTATTACAAATAATTTGTAATAATTACTTGTTAATTGGTTAAAGTATAAAGCGAACAGTCAATACAGAACTAAAGTCGTTTAAAGAACAACCTTCCTACAATGAATCAAATTCTTTAGTCTGAGAGATTGATTGAATATATTTAGTTGTATTTACTTTTCTCTCTCTCTCACTCTCTCTCTCTCTCACACACACATACAAACACCACGCATATATATATATATATATATATATATATATATATATTTAAAATGAATTTTTACAATATTCTATAAATTCTACCGAATGTTTGGCGTTAATATGTTTGTAGTTCGTTTTTTCGATTTTTCTCACTAAAGTTTTTTGGTGAACGTTTAGTTTATTAAAATTCAAAATAAACTTATTTTTCGAATTCATGCTGCAAATAAGGCCATATTTCAATTCCGAATGAATCATCGTCAGTGCTCCTTGCTGTATATATAGGGAAATATTGACTTTGTCAAGATTAACTTTGACGTTGTAAAAATTAACTTTGGTGTTGTAAAATTGAACTTTGATGCGAATTAGGTGTCAGGTTTCTTAATTGGCTGGTCATCTTCCCCTTTGACGGCTGTGCACGTCAACATGACTCATATATCGGGATTACTACTACCTCACTGACTAGAAGGCTTACGATGCACCCCCTTTGACGGCTGAGCACGTCAACATGACTCATATATCGGGATTACTACTACCTCACTGACTGGAAGGCTTACGATGCATAAACAGAGTGGTGCTATCAAATCTCATTTGGACTCAACACACTCAATCACAATTAGCCATAAAATCCTCGACAGCAACACCAAAGTAATATACCAGAACAGCAACTACACGTATCTTAAAATTGCAGAAGCAGTCCTAATCGACATCAATAAACCAAAAATAAATATACAACAAAAAATGACAACCTCACTTCCAACCCGGCGCTTAACCAACAACGAAAACAAAGAAGTAATAAAAACTAGCATCGTAAATAGTGACAAAGAAGAATATGATGCTATCGATGAAGAAAAGGAGACCAAAGAAGATATTTATAAAATATATATAGAATATTATGGTCTATTACCAACATATATATATATATTATATATATATATATATATATAATATATGTTGGTAATAGACCATAATTTTTACAATATTCTATAATTGAAAATTGAAAAAAAATTGAAAAAACGAACTATAAACATATTAACGCCAAACATTCGCTAGAATTATGGTCTATTACTAACATATATTATATATATATATATATAATATATATATATATATAATATATGTTGGTAATAGACCATAATTTTTACAATATTCTGTAAATTCTACCGAATGTTTGGCATTAATATGTTTGTAGTTCGTTTTTTCAATTTTTCTCACTAAAGTTTTTTGGTGAACGTTTAGTTTATTAAAATTCAAAATAAACTTATTTTCCGAATTCATGCTACATATATGCATTCATAAATTCTTTCCGGCATAGTTCATTCTTGACATTGCAATCAATATCACAGTGATCCCATTGATTCAACAAATCAGTTAGTAAATTGGACAAGTCTTGAACTACATTCCTTTTAACTTTTAATTCTCGAGAGATATGGAGCAGTCGCTGCTCGCGATCTTGTTCGATTGTTAGATTACGTCGGTTGGTCGCAAAATTTCGAGTAAATGTTTAAAAACTTTAGTGAGAAAAATCGAAAAAACGAACTACAGACATATTAACGCCAAACATTTGTTAAAATTTATAGAATATTGTAAATATATATATATATATATATATATATATATATATATATATATATGATCATTTATATAGCGCTTATTAAAAACATTCTCATAGGCAATATATATATATATATATATACACCGCCCCATAGTCCTTTGCTATTGTATTGTATTATCGTTTTATTTTGATTTTATACTAGTATATTTGGTAACATAATCGTGGTTATAAGATAACATATATAATACACCCATATATATATATATATATATACATATATATATATATATATATATATATATATATATTCACTTAAATTAAGTCGTCCATTAATTTTTCAATTTCAATATCTTTTTGAAGATTCTTAGGTTTCCTCATGTAATGACAATTGAGTCCAAGGTTAAGAAATTGTTTTTCAGTGATTGTCGGTTGATATTTTCTTAGATACAATATTTACATAAATATATATATTTACAATATATTAATGTAAATATATAATATAAATATTTTATATATATCCATAAACATAATCTTATATTAATATATATATAAGCAATATTAATTTTTTATTAAGCTATTAATAATATTTTATTTCATACTATAATAGCAATTATTTCGAATATGCGAAGAATGAGTGACTATAACTCAATCATTGTAAGCCAACCTATGGCTTCAGCAAGCAACAAAAATTGTTTTTAAAACGAGAATAATCATTTTAAATTACATAATTCAATTTAATCACAATGTTTTAAAAATATTTAGTTAAGTAAATATTTTGCACTAGTTGTTTTTTAAAACCCAAGCAATTTCGTATTAAGTCAATAAGCCAAAGTAAAATAGCTCGCTATTGTCAGAGCCCATCTCTTTCCAAAAGTAAACTTTACTGTCATCAACAAATTTTCCGACCACGAGCGATCGCAGATGGTTGTCATGTCGTGAGATTTGAAAAGAACTTGTTCGTCAAACCTCAACCAGAATGTCATCTTCTGCACCGCTTGACGTCCAGAAAAAAATTTTGTGCAAGTAAGTAAAATAACTTTTTTTTCAATTTCAATTCAGATTTTATAATAAAATATAAAATAAAATAAATGGGACTGAAGTGAACTGAACACTGAACCTAGCCACAACAACACACAACTTGTATGAGGTCTCGCATTATCTTGGCGGAAACTTTTCTGTTGAACTGCATCATTCAGTTTGTCCAGCTGAGTACAGTAGACTTCCGAATTAATTGTTGTGTTATCCGGTAAAAGCTCAAAAATAGTGATTCCTTCAAAAATTTTTAAGGAGTCACTTTTTTTGAATCAAAATCCCATCAGACAGCATCACCTTTTTTGAAATGCGTTGAGCCAGCTCATCTTTTCTGTTCCATGATCTCCTGTGTTTAACATTGTTATATACAGCCCATTTTTTGCTGACAGTATTGATGCATTTTAAAAATGAATCATTTTCGTGACGTTTGAGAAGTGAAGCACAGACGTCAACGCGATGACACAAATTTCTCTTTGTGAGGACATGGGTAACCCATATATCAAGCTTCGAGATTAAACCCAGGTCATTAGGGTAGTCATAAACAGTTGAATTCAATAAATTTAACCTCTCACTGATCTCAAGTGTTGTTAGAGCGCCGGTTTGCATCAGTTAATGCCTTTATCGCATTTTTATCGGCTTCAAATGGCCTTCCAGAACGTGATGCATTTTCGCCATCAAAATTGCCAGATCGAAATTTCGCAAACCAGTTCAGGCACTGGCATATTGTCTAACATTTTACCTTTTCTATAGGCTTGCAAATTAATATCAACAAAACAAAGTGCACGATTATCAGTAAAAGCAAAGCTGTCCCAATCTGCTCCATAACCATTAGTGGTAAACAAGTAAAACAAGTCACAGCTTCAATTATCTGATAATCTCAGGTTGTAAATGTGATATGGATATCAAAAGAAGGATAGCTATGACGAAAGATGCATATTTTACAATGAAAAAAATCCTCACCAATAGTAAAATCACAATATCAACAAAATTAAAACTTAGGGTAATACATTTTTTCTGTGCTAACTTATGGCTATAAGTCCGGGACAATTTAAAAAAAAAATGGAAATAAAGGTTAACGCTGCTGAGATACAGTTTTTGAGAAGAATTATGAAAATTAGTTGGACCTCCCATACTTCAAATAAGGATGTATTAAAACGGTCCGGAAATTAACTACAGATTATCCGCTGGGGGCAGTTAAAGTTTTTTGGTCACATCTTGCAGAAGGAAAAAATGAAAAATCTAACAACCACTGAAAGGATTGCAGAGAAAAGAGATCGCGGTCAACAACAAATAACATTCATCAAGTCCTTCTTGACTTTTTCTTTTTTTTTATTATTCTTTAAAAATCAGGATCTGACAGACGCAGAAACTGTAACAGCATGCAAGACAGTGAAACAAAATTAAACAAATAAGTGAGAAAATAAAGACAAAAAGTGAGGAAGAAAAATGATAAAACATGAAAAATAAAATATGTTAGAATAAAATAAATAATAATAATAAGAAAAATAAAAGAAAAGTAATTGACGATGGAATATAAAATGAATTAACGGCAAATTGATAGACTAGAAGATGATGACTTAGTGAGTTAGTGAGGTGATCGATAAATAAAGGCTAGGCCTGTGTGTGAAAAAGTTTAATGAGTATTAATATATTTGATGACTTATTAATAGACTAAATGATGACTTAGTGAGTTAGTGAGGTGATCGATAAAAGTGAGGTGATCAATAAGTAAAAACTAGTTCAGTAATGATGAAGTTTTCTTAATTGCTAATATGTTTGAGGTGTCTTGTGATGAAGGTCTTTTCCTGGTATGTAGATTGGGCGACGACTTGATAGTTATGTTTGCGCTGACGAGGAAGAAAGGAGTGAATGAGAGACTTGTTAAAGCTGTGATGCAGCTGTATGAAGGGGCAAAGACAAAGGTGAGGGTTGGAAGGGGGATGTCGGACGCTTTTATTGTTAAGGTAGGAGTGCATCAAGGATCAGTGTTATCACCGTTTCTGTTTGCAATTGTGATGGATGTTGTGTGTGGAAACATAATGGAGGGGTTGTTATTTGAGATTTTGTATGCAGATGATTTAGTCTTGATGACTGATAGCATGGAAGAATTGCAGTTAAAATTTGACAGATGGAAAAGTGTTATTGAAAAGAAAGGGTTAAAAGTTAATATTGGTAAGACGAAGGTAATGGTGAGTGGGGAAGGTGGGGAGCGAGTGATAAGTAAAATAGACCCCTGTGGGGTATGTGACAGGAGAGTGAAGGCTAACTCGGTATTGTGTATAGGATGTCAGAAATGGGTGCATAAGAGATGTAATGGTGTGAGGGGGGCACTGAAAAAGGTGGAAGGCACGTTCAAATGTAAGAAATGTGTTCATGGTGTGATTAATAGGACGGACGCAAGGACGGGGTTGAGTGGTGGTATTGAAAGAGTGGAAAGCTTTGTTTACTTAGGGGATAAGCTGAACGCGGATGGAGGATGTTTGAGCGCAGTTACGGCTAGAGTTCGTGTAGGATGGATGAAATTTAGGGAACTGGGTGGGGTATTGTGTGGAAAGAAATGGTCAGTGAAGATGAAAGGGAGGGTATATAAAGCATGTGTGAGAGCAGCGATGGTATATGGTGGTGAAACTTGGGTGTTGAGGAGAGAGGAAGAAAGTGTACTGCAGAGGGCTGAAAGAGCTATGGTGAGGATGATGTGTGGGGTTAAAGTGAAGGATAGGAGGAGTAGTACAGAGCTGATGTCGATGATGGGACTGAATGAGGACATTGTTACATTGATAAGGAGATCGAGATTGCGGTGGTATGGACATGTGTTGAGAAGGGATGAAAGGGTCGGGATTAGGCGAGCGTTGGAGTTCGAGGTTGAAGGAGTAGCAGGAAGGGGTCGTCCGCGATTGGGATGGAGAGAGCAGGTGGAGAAGGACAGGGTGAAAGCGGGGTTGCGTGATACTGAGGCGAGTGACAGATGTGGATGGCGTCGAGGGGTATTTCGGTTTCATCATAGGTAGCCAAACGGCAACCCCTGATCTCGGGAAAAATTTCGTCTAAACGTGTGTTGTTGTTGTTATTGTATATTTGTATATATATATATGTATTGTCGAAAATTTTATGAAAACAACTGGTGGTGTGAGGTAATCTCCTTCTCTATCTTTCTCAGGAAATTTTTTTATGGTCCGACAATAATTTTTGTGTATATTTTTATCGTGAGTTCGACCAGTCCTGTGTGGCACTGGGCTTTTTCGAATTATATGATTTTACTGAGTAACACAGGAACGCGTAAAAATATTCGATAACAATTTTATTAATCGACGGAAGTAAATGAAAAGGAATTGAACTAAATGAACTCTATAATAATGTAAAATGTCAATGAACAAACTGGAATACAGGAATTAGAACTTCTTCTTGTTGGGTCTTCGACTTGGGATATGTTTCTTGCCGTTTAATCGTACAACCTCGACGTGTGTAACCGATAGTGATGTCGATACAACTCCAAGAAATAAATGAAATGAATGTGGAAAAATTACAAAAATCGGAGCCTATGGAAATTCCAAGCTGCGTGTGAAACTATACCAATGAGTATAGAATCCAGCAAAGAACCCTAGGTCCACAAATAGCACAAGAAACAAAAGAAGGAGGCGGATTCGTTTTCACAGAATCCAAGGCCTGTTTTCACTGGGCCTGTCAGTCAGTCGGTCGGCTTTCGCACAACCCTGGTCTGCTTTCGCACAACCAACACAAAACAACAAGAGTCAGAACAACACTGGAAACAAATTGTGTGACTTTAGTACGCGTGCGAAACTATGCCAATGAGCATAGAGTCTCGTACCAAATCCACTTTTGAGAACTTAAGACGTTTCTGAAACTATACCAATGAGCATAGAATCACGAATTAAGTCTCTTAGATACCAGAATAGGCACCGGTTATTCGAGGCTGCCTAACTGGTGAACCCAAGGCGGACTCTTTTTGAGAACTTAAGACGTTTCTGAAACTATGCCAATGAGCATAGAATCACGAATTAAGTCTCTTAGGGACCAGAATAGGCACCGATTATTCGAAGCTGCCTAACTAGTCAACCCAGTGCGGACTTTCTTCCACACTCTTCCTCCACTCAAAGATAAGATAAAGGAACTCTATATCAAAGCAAAATTAGATTTTGTTTCGATTGTTTTTAAACATAAAAATTTCCAAGGTATGTCCAATTAATCAAAAAAACTACTAATTAAATTTTAAAATAATTTGTAATAATTTATGGCGTCATCTAAATTGCAAAACAAAAAAAAATCGTCGTCACCTATCGAGTAAATTAATTTGCACCATGCCCCCTATCGAGTGAATAAATTTTGCGTTGAAAACTGAAGTATTTTTAGTCAGTATTATTTCATAATTCTGACTATATATATATATATATATATATATATATATATATATATATATATATATATATATGCATAATTCGTGTTGAGACTGTTGTAAATGCAATTATTAGGAAATACTAGAAAGATTATTTTTCCTATGAATAAGATCCTGTGATTGTCACTGTTTAACATTATTTGTCTGATTTTGTGTATCCAGTCAAAAATTAGAGATGACAATGGTACTGTAAAAGCACCCACCTCCTTTTGATATTATTTATAATCATTTTTCAGCTATAAATTTTTAGCACTAATTTATAACTTGTTTACCTTCGTATGATTTATAAACTTCCATATTGAGGTTACACTGGAGCGCACTCGGCGGTGTTTAGGAAGGCAAAAACGGCACGATGCACTAAAACTTTTGCCTCCTTTTCTCTTCAGTTGTGCGTCATGGTAGCACATTTGAATTAGCACATTTGTTCATTTCTGTTGTAATTGTAATTTATTGTTAACAAAATCATAACATTTCTGTAAATTTAGCCACAATCATACATTAACTAATATAAATAACACGTTTTCCTGCAATCAAAAAATGTAGGCAATAAATTAATCATTTAATCCATGTTTGTACCGAACGCAAATCGAGTAAATTTCCAGCATGGTATTCTAATTCATAACTGGCGATCCGTCCGTGCACCTGCTTGTAAAAAATCATCAGAAAAATCCCTTACCTGAGTCTAAAAGTTCGTGTTATATAAACTTCAGGGCTTACGATTTAATAATATTATATAAACAATATCAAAAGGAGGTGAATGCTTTTATAGTACCATTGCCATTTAGTAATAATAAAAACATTAAAAAAGCTGACCTTATTTTAATGAGATGAAAAAGTTAGTGTTAGCTAGTTGTTGTATATTAAGAGAATGAAAAAAATTTGTTTCTTTCATTTAAAAACTCCTTTTGTAATCGAAAGCTAAATTAAAATGCTTTTATGCAGATCTAGAAGCGTCTGGAAAATATCTAACTTTTTACATAATTGTCTTTCTAAGCAATATATTTAAAAATAATTGCCAGATACTTCATGAATGGTGCCTGTGCAAAGAACGATTCGTGCACTTTCTCGCACGACAGAGCAGATCCACTGTCTACAATTTGCACATTCTACAAAAATAAAAGTTGTTCCTATGGTTCGTCCTGCAGGTATGCAAAATTGATTTCATACCTCGTTATAAATTGTTATTCTGATTGATTGGTGAAACAAACTGAATTGAAGAGAAAAGTAACTTTTTATTTCTGTCAGATATGATCATGTGAAGGTTGACGATCCCAAAACGATATCAAAAACTAAGACCAAAGTTAAATTTAAAGCGTTGGTAAGCTCAAATCAGGAATTACTATTACCGTCTTCCTCATCAACATCAGTTGGTAGCAACTGGGCAGATGCTCCTGAGTTTGTTCCTGGTCAACAGTGGCTTCCTCCTGGTTCGTTTCGTTGATTTGTAGTGTTAACATTTCATTCATTCGTTGTCTTGCTGCGCATGCATTTCATTCAATGTCCTGAAAAGTCTACTTTTTATTTAATTACGTGCAAAACATCCGTTTTGCACGTAATTAAATAAAATTTTGCACTTAACTCCGCTTATTGTTAATTGCGTGATCGTGTTAGAATTTCGTGAAACATATTTGTAATGTTCTATAATATTTGGTTTTGAATATCTCCAATGACGTTTTTTAGTTATTTAGGATTGAAAATACAAATTAAATAATGTAATAACCTGTACCGCACAGAACCGTCGTTATATTCCAGCATTGTTCAAAGTGGTCTGATTGTCGGGCCGGATGTTTTTGATGAGTTTGTGTGTGCGTACTGCATGGAGACTTTCGATCCCAACGACGATTTGCACATGCAGGTTGCTTTTCGGTGTTTCATCATTTATTTCTTTTATTTCATTTTCAAAATTATCTTACATCAGAATATCTAATAAAGAATTAAAAACATATTTCAATGGGACTGATGTTTTGCAAGTTTAAATATACAAAGATTTTGAAATTTTCATTTTTCTAATTTACAAAGCATCCGTGCTAACTGCTTTATATATATGTGTGTGTATATAACAGATTTTTGTTATTTCCAAGCAAGTTTCCCATCAAAATTAGTTTATTCCAGATCATTTTTCTCAATTGCCATATTTTGTTCTATCTGTCTGTACGTTCCTCTAGTTGGACATCTTCTGGATATCTGATTTCTTAACTAAAATACAGATTTTGTTTTAATTTTCAATGACTTCTGCAGTTATTAAAACTTCCACCTGTACATTTAATTCATTTTCAACTACAAATAAATAAAAAATTGAGGCTTTTGTTTGTCGTTGATCAAGTTAATGTTTATGGATGATGGCAACAATAATAATAATAACGGGGTTGATTTCAATGATGTTTAAATTAAAATGTAGAAATTGAAATATAGAAATAAACCTTGCAGACCTGCACATCATACCACGAGGAAGCGATGAATGAATCGTTCAGACAACAAGTCAGTTCAAGTCAGGTGTGTGGCATCTGCCTGGAAGTCGTCTGGCACAAGAAGCCGACATCGAGGTTATTTCTTGTCATTAACTTTTCAAGTTCAAAAGTTTTATTTTGTTATTCGGACCATTAATTTATCAAAAAAAGTGTTTTATAGTTATTACCGGCAGATGTACGCTTGAAGAATCAGTAATTATTGCAAGGTGTAAGGTGTTAGTTCTTCTCTGGGTCTATCTTCTTTCTCCTTTCATCAAAATAATTACTAGCGTTGTTCGTTCATACTTTGCTAACATTTGCCGCATCAAGTTTTTTACTCGTAAATTTTTTCGTGTTATTGTATTTTTTGTATCCTTGTTTTGTTTACGCAGACAAAGGTTCGGCGTGCTGTCCGGCTGTGATCACGTGTTCTGCTTGGAATGCATTCGCAAATGGAGGACCCAGCAAGGAGTTCATGATGACGTCAGGTTGTTGTGTGTATATATGCTACGGTGTGTGTCTCGAAGTTGTTTCGGCGTGTCTTTCTCTGCAGAGTGCATCAATGAGATGTTCCGTGTTTTTGTTTCTATGGTGGATGAGGCCTGATGTTCTTTTCTAAATTCTTGGTTGTTGAATTAAATAGTTTGACATGGGTTGCCTGCCTGGTTTTTTGTTGTGGTATGTTCTGAGTCATGCTCAAGTGACATATTGTAAGATGGCATTTTAATGTTGGCTAGCTGACTTGACCGTTAATAATCTCTCGAAAATTTTTGATGTTAAAACTTTTATAGTTCTAGTGCTTATTCTCATCTTACATTTCTTTTTGTTTTAGGTTATGTCCTCAATGTCGAGTCAGAACTGATTTTGTCATTCCAAGTCATTATTGGTACGAAAATAAAGAGGACAAACAGGATCTTATCAACGCATACAAGACATCACTGAGGTTTCTCGATCAATAAGTTTATTCCATATATACAAAAATATTTTCATTAAATTCACTTTCAAAGATCAATTTTTGACAAAATGTCAGACGAAATTTATGTAATGTAAAAGGAACATAATTTTTAGTAAAAAAAATTTTTTTTTTTTCCAAAGTAAAAAGCCCTGCAGATATTTCGTGCGTGATGGGTTCTGTCCATTCACGAAGAATTGTTTCTACTCACACGTCGGTGAAGATGGACGAGCAGGTGAGTGCCTCACAAGGTTCAAACAAGCAGCGGACGGATCTTCAATGCTCATCAAAACAAACAAACTTTCGGATTTTTTTGACGATGAAGAAATGAACAGAACTAATAATTGATGTTATTCCAGCATCTGCCGCTTTGAAATTTTTAAAAAAATTACTCTCTATTTATTATTTCATGTTAATTTATTAGTTTATTGCCGGTTTCTTCATTTTTAGGATTAATTTTGTTGTCTCCGATACAAAAAATGTCCAGCTGCATTGTTGGATTGTCTAAATTTTGGTTGATGAAATCTTGAAATTTGTATGTTTAAAATATGTTTGTGCGTGTTTGGCAATGAAAAAACTGCATGATAGTCTAAATTTGCAGTATTTAAATATGTCAAATTTTCTGCTAAATAAATTGTTAAGAAATTTTTATGAATGATAACCATCTGCTCAATTTTCAATAAAATTTTATCTTTAGCACATTTCGATTAACGCCGAAACCTGACGAAAACGTGATAATATTAAGAAATTTGGCATTCTTGATTACATGGGATAGGTTGAGTTTTGAATTTTCAATGAGTTTCGAATGTAAAGTGAGTGAATGTAATTTGTAAATGAATGTAAATGCTCTCTAAAAAGCTTGAAAATTATGGACTAGCATATCAACGTGTTAAGATGTGCGTCTTTCGGTACGAAGGCAAGATGACCGTATCTTAGCTGTCTATCCGGAGACAGTTCATGGTGGTTAGACTGAGTCCTCTTTGTTCCAAGACATTTTCTCGTAGTCTGTCAAATGCACTAGCTTTAACCACCGAGTTGATTATTAATGCATCTATGTGCTGAAATAAGTAAAATCCTCTACTTTTTTGAGGCTCTGTCTTTTTATGATGATACTTGGCTGATCGTAGGTCTTCATAAGAGCACCCTGGTACATGGCTGGTCTTGCTGATGTTGATTGTGAGATCTAGTTTGACTCAGGTCTGTGAGACGCAATTTATTAAACTCTGCATGTGCTGTTCTGAGAACGCAATTAATCTGCAAATAACTGATTTTGTGTTATTGAGTTTGGTACTTTTGTGAACTGGTAAGCGTATGAGATTGAATTTCTACAGATAAATTAGCAAATAACAAAAAAAAGGGCGCTACGGTGCGTACCTTATCTGATGAATTGACAAAATGAGATTGATTTGAAATAAGCTAATCGTCTGAATAATCAAATTTTTTGACGCTGGTATCGAGCTGTTTACTAATTTAACTTTGAAGAATCGAATAATGGCAGCTGGTAAAACAAGGATGAAAGAGGTGAAGGTGATTGCTTATGAGACCGTTTCAAATAAGTTGAATTTGCTGTCACTGTGTCAGTGTATCAATCAATCAATTAGTTGGTAAAGCGCTATTTGAGATCCGCTCCGAATTTCGTAAGTGGTGGAGAAGTAGTCAGAGAAGGAGGAGGAGAGTTCCAGAGAAAAGGGCCAATAAAAACAAATGCAGATTTAGCAAAAGAGTGTTTAACACGATTTAAGAAGAAGTGAGACAAGAAGACGATCGTAAACTGGGGCGTTTAGGTTCAATTAATATATCTGATGAGTACTTAGAAAATAATTTAAATTGAGACTCATACATTAATGTGCAAATTAAATAAATTATTTTATATTTTATAGGTAGCCATTGCAAGAGAACAAGATATGGAGATATATGAGAAAAGAAAGGGGCACGAGCAACTAGCCGAGCAGCAGAGTTAAAAGCTTTGCCTAAAGGATGGTGTATAGAATCAGGAAGCCATAGTAGAGCGAGTTAAAATAATCCTAAATAAAACTAAAGAAGTAACAAGAAGGAAAAGAGTAAGATCGTCAAAAAAAGGCAAAAGTTTTTTTTTCTACATAGGTGAAAATAAGAGCTTCTAGCAACACTATTAACCTGTTATAGAAAGAGAAGAAAGAGACATGCTAAAATTAAAGATAAAGCCTGGACTATGAAATAAATTTATGAAAAACATCGAAAGTTTTAGAATCAGGTAAGATAATAGAAGAAATAATAATAGAGTGTTTAGATTTATCAAAACAAATTGATTCAAACTTAGAAGGATTAACTTTAAGATACATAGAATTCGACCAAGCGATAGTTGAAGAAAGACATTAAGATAGATTATAAAAACATTATTGAGATTAGTTAGAGGAAAAGAAGTATAAATATAAAAATCATCAGCATATAGTTGACTAGTGAAATAAAAATTATTAAAAATACGAGGTGGTTCTGTAGTATAGAGTATAAATAGAAGAGGGCCAAGGATAAAACCCTGAGGTACCCCAAAAGTTAGAGTAGAGGAATTAAAAGTAGAATTATTAAGATCAAGAGAAGAAAGACGATTAGAGAGATAAGAAAAAAGCCAAGATAGACAAGAATCAGTATATTAAAAAAATGATCTAGCAGTCTCAAGAAAATAGTATGGTCAACAGTATCAAAAATAGAGGAAAAGTCAAGAACAAGAAGTAACATTACCATTATCACTAGAGAGAAGGGTATCATTATGTATTTTGAGTAAAGAAGTTTCAGTATTGAGAGCAGTGTAGGCGTAAAAGTTGGTAAATAATATTCGAAATGAATCTATAAGTATTAATTATGTAACCAGATAAAAAAATAAGTTTTTTTCAGGTAATTCATGGACTGTCTTCGAAAATAAGTAAGTTTACAAAATAATTTTCAGCTTAATCGGGTTATTGAAAAATCGATTATAAGATTTTTACTACAAAAACAAACACGAAGTTGATACATGCAAAGTAAAAGTGAGTATGGATCAGGACTGTTCAACAGTTTTTTTAAATTTTTACCCAATTTATCCATCAAGGAATTTATCGCCGTTCAGCAAAATGAAATGAAAAACGGATCGAACGATGCAAGCCTCTTTCTAACTAGTTCTTTTCAAATTTTCAATTAATTTTTGGTTCAACTTTCACTGCATCTGCACTATTTTTTATCTGGTGTTTTAAATTTAGCAAAACGCGTTCTGGTCAATTTATCGGAACATTTCCCAGCACGTACAGCCTAGGTACGGTAAGATAAAATATTGATGTTATAATTGATACAAAGTTGGTGAAAAAATCGCACGCAAAAAGTTAATTTGATTAAGAAATTTTGAATGAAAAGTCGGGGGACCATTGTTTGAGAAGTTGATTGCAACTATTAAACAATCGATAAACTCTAACTCGAAGGCAAATAATTGGACGTTTTGAGCCTTTTAATCGCATCAGTCATGTGCAAATCGTATGGCGTGTTGATGAATTGCCTTCAATAAATTGTACTCTCCGCTCGAATTCACGCACGCATACGCTCCTAATCATAACCTTCACGTTTTTAGTTACGATATTTTTGAGTACAAAATTAATCTCTTGTGAGTGGCTAGGAAGGATTTATAATTAAAGTACACTTCATCGTATAGTAGATTTTAAAATTATTGGTATTTCCTATTATGCGCGAGTTTGTTAAGCAAATGTGTAATTGTGTTTGTTGAATGTGCAATCTTTTGTTTAGAGAAGCAGATTATTTTTGAAACTGCATGCATCGACATTGCAATTATCTCAGTCAAAATTTGAATTAACATTGATTATATCTCGCCAGCCACAGCACCAGGATCATTGATTATGAAATTAAGCCTGCCTCCTTCTTACATGAATCGTGTCGACAACGGCAGCTTAGGCGCGTGTGTATGTATGTGTGTGTGTGTGTGTGTGTGTGTGTGTGTGTGTGTGTGTGTGTGTGTGTGTGTGTGTGTACGCAAATAATGCACATTTGCGTAATTGACAGTTCGACGAATTATAACTCGGCATGTTGTGACCTTTTAACATTGAACAGAACTACAAGTACTCATTTGCTGCTGCGCGGCCAACTGATAGTTATTCATATTCATTGTAATCATTCTCGTCACATTCTTGCTTTATCGAACGAACTCACCTCATCATCTTCCTCATAACGTGCTTCCATTTTGTTTCCATGCATTCATTCACGACTTTTCATTTGGCTCATCGTTACAAATACGTGAAAAATATTTAAAACGTTGCTACGAATCAACAGAGAACGGTCGACCATTCATTCGCTTTCGCACATCCAGTCACAATGTTACATTTTTCAAGTGTTTGAATGAAGTCTGCAGTTGAAAATGTTCATTCGCAAGTATTCCGGCAGACCACAATTTTTACTACAAAATATTTTATACCGCAAACTTTCACAAAAATTATTTGAAAAATTTACTTGTATATAAGCATCAAAGAACTTTCTCGAACCTTCTGATGCAAATTAATCTTTTTCAGAAGAATTAGCAGACAGCACACACAAACATACATATACACACATTCCATAAAAGATTTAAATAGAATGTTTGTGTATAAATGTGTAATAATTTTTATTACATAAATTATTATAAATTATCATATATTTACATACTTATAATTTAACACATCTTCAGTCATAATGTAAGGGGACTTCATACATCAGGCCGAGATACTTAAAACGAACGGAAATAATTCAATGTACCGGTGGAATGATGTTTGTCATCCGGATGACGAAGGAGGGGCTATGAACGTGATTGGCTGGTTGATATTTCAATGGGCGTGTCTATTCAGTGACTGACAATCAAAAATGTACGTATTTAAACGTCAACAATCGACGCATGTGCTACGTCATAATTTCTGGCAATTGAAACTGGCTCTCGCAGATTTCAAATTAACCAATGATTGGATTTGTTTGAATAATAATTTTGTGGGTATCATCTTTAGACAGGTAAAACTATGTTTGATTTATTACAATATTTAAATATACTGCTCCATAAAAAAATGTATATTTAGTATTCTGCTATGATCTTATTGAAAAATATCATTAATATTGTAATATAAACACACACACCACACACGCACACACACACAAACAAACACACAACACACACACATATCACACACACATTAATATATATATATATATATATATATATATATTTTATATATATATACACGTACACTCATATATATATATATATATATATATATATATATATATATATATATATATATATGAGTGTACGTGTGTGTGTAACCTATTTTATGTGTGATTGTCCGTGTGTGTGTGTGTGTGTGTGTGTGTGCAATAACACAAGCGAGAAGTAGCCAGGCAGCCTAATTCGTAGTTATCAGTATCAGGAAGTTATACACCGTTGACAGACCTCCTGTTAATAACAAAAAAACAACAGCACCGCAATTATAAACCAGTAAAAAAAATTTGTAAGCAGTCCGTGATGGTAGTTGTTGTAGTTGAAGTGATTGTAGCAGCAGCAGTAGAAGCAGCAGAAGTGGTTGAGGTAGCGAAAGAAGAAGTAGCAGCAATGAGCAAAAGAAGAACGGTGCAAAGTGGTGCGTGTTAATCCATGCGTAGATCTCATCAGAACGCGTTGATGTGGTTAGCAGGAGGGAGGCGCACAAGCGAGGAAGCAAGCCACAACCTCCACCCCCTCATCCTCCACAATGATTGACCAACAAATTTATTTGCTGGGATGATTAGATGCACAATTTAATTACGCAAACTGATATTTTTAGGGCCACGACAAATATTGCCGGCATTTGTTTAGACGGATATAATGCACGTCGTCTGTATTGAATTAATATAATGGCTAAAAATCTGTGCATACATTTTATTTGATTTATTCCAACAACTGCATTAGAATTTCAATAGTGATTGAAAGGTCTTGCTGATGATGCCTGTAACTGTTTGGCACGTGACCAGCCACTCACCTTTATGTTGTTTCTAAAATTTATTCTTAGCAGAAATTTACGATTGTTTCAGACTAGTTGTTGACGGTTGGTTGTAACGATGCGTTCGAAAAGACTTACTGCCAGTTTCTATCGATACAGGAGTTTACCCGAAGAATATTTTCGTTTATATTTTAGGAGAAATTTTCTATTCAACAACTTCGATAAACGTGTAACGACTTTTGAAACATGCGGCGGTTGAATAGCGAAAGCAGATGGCTCAGCAAACATGAAGCACACACAAACAGACAAACGCACAAATGAATGTGCGTGTGAATTATGCAGGCTCACGTTGCACGGGCATGTAAGCTGACGTGGACGCATGTTTACAAAATGCTGCAAGTGATCGTCCTGGGACAAGCATGTAATTGCACGTAACCACTGTAGTTAATGCGGTCGACACGTCGCATCGTGTAAACAATTATTAAAAACGCTGCTTGGTCAGTCGGGAGGACATCAGATCTTCCATCATGCGAATATTTGTTTTCTTCCACGCTCACTCTCTCTCACAACTCTGTCCTCTGTGTGTAAACATTATGTCGCATGTTTCTCTCTCTCTCTCTCTCTCTCTCTCTCTCTCTTTCTCTGCTTGTCTGCATTTAAATTACTAGCTCACTCTATAATTTGTCTAAAAAACTGAACTAAGCATTACATTATTTAGCCTAATTTACAAACGCATGTGTCAGTGTTCCTTTCGAAATCAAAATATGCTGCCTTAAGACTTAATTACTTATGGATGGTCAAGTTTAACCAGTTAATAAATGACTTACTAAAAAATTTCAAAACTGTACTTTTAAAAGCAGGAAAATCTAATTTTTCGTTAGCTCGGCCTTCAACAAAAGTAATAACTTTAATGAAGACAACAAAAGCAGTAAATATTTTCCACGTGGTGGTAGCGCTAAGCGGCATCAAACAGCATAAGAATTGATTTGATGGGGCTGATTTGTTTATTAGATCTACTGAATAATTTGTATGAAAATAACGTCTTGCATTGATGAACTATTGACCAACCGCAGATTACTCTGAAGCTTCGATGGAGCCAATTGATTTGACTCAGCTGGAGAAATGCGAGAACGTTGAGAAGCCACCCTCCATCAATTCGACCGCGAACAACGCAAAATCGTATTGCTGGTCGGTGGAGAACATCTTGAAAATGAACAAAGATGAATCCGAGTCACCCACGTACGCCCACAACTCCTGCGACCTCAGCGACCACGAGCAGCAAGAGAGATCGAAACTTCAAGCGCAATCGAACGAGATCAGCAGCGTGCTACTGAGAGGCGAGGCGATCGTCAGTCTGGTCATCGACGGCAAGGAGAGGTTGTGCTTGGCGCAGATCAGCAACACATTGCTGAAGAACTTTAGCTACAACGAGATCCACAACAGGAGGGTGGCGCTGGGCATCACCTGCGTTCAGTGCACGCCCGTCCAACTCGAAATACTTCGCAGGTAACCATTGTGTTTGCTGTTTCAAGAATTTAGAAATCATTATATTATATGTATAACAGTTTAGAAATTAATTCAACAAAGAGCATATGCCATTAAATGTGATTTTGCTTTTACTTCTGGTAACAAGTAAATGTTAATGGGATGCCAGTTTCAAAATATTTCTAATCTCATTGGAGGGGTGAAACTGAAAAATGGCGAAAAAATGTTCAGGGGAAAAGTTTGCAAATTTGCTGTTAATTAAATAGTGTTTTCGTACATTTTGCAATAGATCAGCGCTGCTGCTGTGAAGATTTTGGGTTGGATGAAATTGTTTTAAATTTTTTAATTAGTGTATGATAATAATTAATTTTGAAAGGTTGTAAATAATTCATAATAAAACTTTCTTTAATAAAAAAAATTTAAAGCACTTAAAATTTCAGCATAACACGGGGAGGTTTAGACGAATTTAATTATTTTTCAAAATTGAATTAAAACTTTCGCGTCTAGCCTTACTTACTGACATATTTTAACAAGTATGTCTTAACGATTAGGAAGAACTTTTTGGTTAAACAAAAAATGGCAATTCTAAAATCATTACATTTTCCAGATATCATGTAGTTACGTGTATGTCAAGTTGATTGTTGATTGAAACATAATAGTATCAATTTTTTCATCTCAGTCTGTTATTCTAAAGAGCAAGGTATGATACGTTCGTTTCCGTTGTCAGGGCCAGCTGGTCATTTAATACGTATGTATATTCACACACACCTGAAAACATTCAGTTATGAAAAATACGAAGCAGGAATTCAGGTCGAAGCTTGCACACAAGACACTTATCAATTGCCATGATTGAAATGAAAGTAATTTAAAGAGCAGCCATCTTAAATAAATCTTATTTGTCGATTAAATTTTCTTAAAAAATTCTTATACATGATTTACCATTATTTCTACCATGTTTTTTAGTACAATTACATCTCATGTACAATTAGTTTGAGTAATTTTATTTTAAATACTTTAAAGTTAGGTTTAAATACTATCCGTATAAACAAAATCATACCATACACATTTTTTTAAAATGAACTCAAGTCACTCCCAGTCGCACGAGTACATTGTGGCTACGATTTTTTAATCTGACGATCAGTGTCATGTCAATTAGGAAGCATTGGATGAATGTTCATTTAATAGCGGCATTAGCAACTGGCAATTAGTTAAATACTTGACCATTTTGAGACTCCATTGCTTCCCATTCAACATTTTGCTGCCAAAATTTTTGGTCGTGGCAAAAGTAATAAAAAGCCAACGCTGGAACAGAAATTAAAAAAAAATTTTGCATCATATAATTCAGAATTGTAAATTATAATTTAATGTTATAGTGCTCGTTAAATAATAATCAAAGATCTTGCACGTACAAGTACAAGCTCAAGGTGAAATAACAAGTAAGTCTCAAGTACTTGAAAATTATAACCTGTACTCCAGTACAAGTAACAAACCACTGATGGGTATGATAATTAAATTCCAGTTTTGTGACAAGACACATCTTGCAAGTGATTTGATGAGCGACTTGTTAGCGAGACATTGGGCGGGGAATGTTCATGTTCATGCTACAAAGTTACCATCAGCTACATCTCTAATGTTATTATTATCCAGCACGTAATATGACTCCAACATTGGTGTTGAAATTGAAATCAACGTGAACGCTGAAGTCTTTGAATGCATGATGATGGTGATAGAAGTATTTTTTATTATTATTCTTTAAAAAAAAATTAGAATCTGACGAACGCAGAATCAGTTACGACATGCAAACATGGCGGCAGGGAGCGAATTAGTGAACAACGAATTAAAAATAAACTTCTATAAAACATTGAGTCAGTCAAGTGAAAGCAACCGATGAAAAATTAGTTTTGTAAAAATTTAATGTAAATCAAACAAATGTAATTCATCTACGAAGATTTTTAATTTACTAAAGCCGAGATAAAATTGCTGTCAGCGGTTGTGCTATGGAACATTTACGAAGCGTTTCGAGATTGAAGCACGTTTCTCAACGACGGTTAAATTAAAATAAAATGATGTCTTCTTTATAAAATATAAATACCGGCACAATTGGTCCGTCGGTGTGGGTGGACACAAGTGGGCGTCGCATTGAATTGACTCACTGCCACACTAGTGTCAATAAATTAGAAACGAGTGAAAAGTCTATTTTTTTATTATAATAAATATCACTGTAATAATTATCGTCATCATCGTTTTTAGGCATTTAAGAAACTTATTGATTAACGGATTGATTGATTGAGTGATTGATTGATTGAGTGAGTGAGTGAGTGAGTGAGTGAGTGAGTGAGTGATTGATTGAGTGATTGATTGAGTGATTGATTGATTGAGTGATTGATTGATTAATTGATTGATTACAAAATTTATTTTGTAGCCCCATGTGCGCTCCTCAACAAATTAGATGAATAGGCATTTGTGTGACTTGTCTTTAAACTTGTAACTGCAAATGATAGAAAGAAAAAACAGTTGGAAAGAAAAGGATAATGACCAAAGACCCTAAAAGCAGTCTTAGCAAATAGTTGCTTGTAGCAAAATGTGTGGTCTTACGTTGAAATGGTCTGATTCGTGTGCGATGATGTAAGACGCATCGTTGTGTGTCCGTTTACCGTTAAATAGCGCTATTCCAATTACAAAAACCGATTGATTGAAAAAACATAAAAAAAATGTTATCGTGCGTTTTAGATAAGATATATTGCCCATCAAATACTAAACAGCCAGAATTTAACTTGAACATAAAAGTGCATAATTTAAACATAATTCTATATTTAAGGTAACCAAGGCAAAGGGATAAGATGAGAGGAAGAGAGAGAGACATGCATCAGAGATGTAGGCCTTAGTACGGGATGCCACCAACAATTTTTGTTTGGTTGTGCAAAATAATATTTTCAAAGTTGACGAATTTTTTATGTTATTTTTGCTTATTCCACTTTTTCACAGTTTTCTTATTTAAAAAACTGTTTACATCACAAACGTCCGCAATAACATGTGAGGCACTAAAACAGTTCATACTTCAGCTCCACCCCAAAGACTCTCATAGGCCACGTGTCTTATGTTTTGGTTTTATTATAAAATTATAACAATTATTTTTTAAACTGAAGTTTGAAATTTTTGAGGAAGCAAATACACCTTCCATGGTGGCGCTTGTGCCATAATGAGTGGAGTGGAACAATTTAGAAAAAGCAAAACGCAGAGGAAGTGAGGCTGATGAAATTATAAAATTTTTGATTAAAAAGTTAGGAATTATAAAAATTTAATTATAAAATTAGATTGACGATCCAACATCAAACAAGAAAGATGAGTGCAAATTAGTAGAGAGAATTTTGATTTGGTATGAGAAAAGGTTGATAGGAGGAATTATGGGATGCTTGTCGGATTTGTTAAATCTGTTATTTAAACTGGCTTTGATTTAAAAATTGAAATAATTTTCATAAATTAAAATGTACTGAAATGACAACCTTAAAATGAACATATGCCTAATTAGGAAAATGTTTTGTTTACAGACATGGAGCAATGCCGATATCATCACGTCGATGTGGAATGATAACAAAACGCGAAGCAGAACGATTGATAACTTCTTTCCTGGAAGAACACAGCCCTCCGAGATTACCAGAAACATTTGCGTTCCAAGTTTATCACACGTGTGGCTGGGGATGCAAAGGTTGTTTCATGCCATCTAGATACAACAGTTCAAGAGCTAAATGTATTAAATGCTCGTATTGCAACTTGATACTTTCACCTAACAAATTCATTTTTCATTTTCATCGAATGCCGAATTCCAAATATCACCATCCCGACGCGGCAAACTTCAACTCGTGGAGACGTCATCTGTTTCTTGATTACGAGTCTCCGAACGAAGATTTAAGTCACGCATGGGAAGACGTCAAAGCCATGTTTAACGGAGGCAGTCGAAAAAAACCTTCTAACGAGTCCAGTTGTTTCAGATCATCGCCAATTAAAAATGATGACACTTATTCCAAATGTGAACATCTGAGGAACATCTCGAAATCTTCATGCAACGGAGATTACGCCTCCGTCGATAATTTTTCTAATACTCAACTAGTTCCACCTTCCGTTTCATTACTTTACAACGCAACTGTCAACAGAAACTACTCGTTTAATTTTTTCAACCAACCCAAATATTTGCAAGCTGGATTTAATTTTCCAAACTTTGTTAAACATCCTAACATGCCGTTGAGATTGTTGGCCGAAAGTGGCCCACGTTTACATTGCGATTTGGAAAACGAGAATAGAGCAAATTTTTTTATACCATCGAGTCAGCACCAACTCCCGGTAGATATCATGCTGCAGAAATATGGAAACAAATATCAAAATTATTTTCAACAAAGAAGTTTAGCCACAAATTCACTTTTCCCAGTCGATCCACTGCCATTTTTGTATTCGCAGTTTCCAACAAATGATAAAAACAAAATTAATTTTGGAAGTTTGATGAATGTACAGAATCTAAACAACATGAACAGACCAGAAATCAACAAACATTGTAACGCACTGTCATCCGAACACGCATCTTCTGAACAAGAACAAAATTAAATTTATCTAAAAAATTAAAAAATGCGAATAACCTTCAAAAATTTAATTTTTTTCAAAAACTCATTTGTACATACAGACACCACACACACACACACACACACACACACACACACACACACACACACACGCACACACACACACAAAACATTCAAAAACACTCAAATGCATATATATATATATATATATATATATATATATATATATATATAATATATACACACACACACATATATATATATATATATGTGTGTATATTATATATATATATATATATATATATATATATATATGTGTGTGTGTGTTATATATATGAGATTATATATATATATGTAATAATCTCATAGATGTATATATGTATGTATATATATATATATATATATATATATATACATACAAATAACGTTATTTGTTTATAATTGATTTTTTTAATTTTTGTTTTATTTATTGTTATAATTATAATAATAAGAACCGTAAAAATTACATACAGAATTTGTATGTATAAAAGTATGCGCATATATATATATATATATATATATATATATATATATATATATATATATATATATATGCAGTTGTTTAAAAATATCATAGCATTGCATGCATTGTTCAATTTGCAATTGTGTTTTTCAATTTTTCGTGCGACGAATTTCGGTTCATTATCAAGTTTGTTCAAACGATGCGATGGTACTTTATAGAGAAGGTAACTTGTTGTTTTTTTTCTTCTCTATGGAGAAACAACAAGCTTCCAAATGGAGGTAGAAAACAACACGCTGCTATTCCTCGATGTTTTGGTACAAGGGAATGATACCGAATTTAAGACGTCGGTTTATACAAAAGCCTCAAACAAATGTCTATGCCTAAACCGAAAAAGTGAATGCTGCGAGAAATAGCTGGAGAGCACAATGGCTTCGTTTGAAACAAAGAAATACAAAAAATCTACAACCTTCTAATCAATAATGGCTATAAAAAATCATTAAGAGAAAAAATGATGCAAAAAAGGAAAAAATAACACCAAAAATAGCAACGAAAACAAAAACATCGTAATATACTACAAGAACCACATGTCGACCGCGTTTAAACGGGATGTGGAAATTATGAAAATAATTTTTAGAAACAATGTCAAACCAATTAATGAACAAGATACCCTTAGCTTAAAATCTATTACACCAACCATAAAACTTCATTTCTAATTATGGAAAACAACTGCACAAGCAAACAAGAAACTATTAATATAATAAACCGAAGTCATCTAGTGTACTCATTGAAATGCAAAATTGGTGAGTGTGGCTACCAAAACCTCTGAATGCATAGGGATGACTACAACCAAACTATCAAAAAGGCTTACCATGCATGTTTAGTCAGGAGCAATAAAGAATCACCTGAAAGAGAACACGAAAATCACCAGAGAGATACTTTATAATAACATAGAAATAATTCACTACAACAACAATCCACACAGTCTAAGGATTGCAGAATCTTTGCTCATCAAACAAATACGGCCAGCATTAAATATTCAACCACACGCTACCAGAGTCCTACCGACTAACAAAGTCAGAATTCGATCAAATTCACTTAGTGAGACACTCAGTAACAAAGTCACTCAAAGCCTATATAAAAAGATACAATAAAAAAAAACAAGAACACTGATGATGACTGATTGTCGAAAAAAGTTTTTGACGTTGGAATGTACATAAATATTTAACCTAAAATTTAAAAAAATGCATAAAAATTCTGTTTATGAACTGAACAAACTTGATAATGAACGGAAAATCGAAAATTGAAAAACTCAGTTGAAAATCGAATAACGCATGAACTGTGATATTTATAAGCAACTGCATGTCAGATAGGCTAGTCTCAACCATATATACATATATACCTATTATGTATATATATATATATATATTTTGTGTGTGTTTAGACTATCATAAATACAATTATTAATAATAATAATGCAGTGATCTTTATAAATAATTGTGTATATATATATAATTCACGTGTTCCACTTCTACGCAACTATTCAATTTTTTGCAGCGTTCGCATCACTAACATATCCTACCTAACGAAACAAGAATTAAATCGCAAACAGACGCCTTGACGATACCCATTTGTTAACTAATTAAACCCAAATAAATCTTATCAAGTTTCATTTTTATTATACACAAGAAATGAATGTTTGTTTCACAATACGATATACCTGATTTAATATCTATGCTGTGTGATTGGCAAGTTTTTATGATTAATTTAAGTGGGTAAATCATTTGAAAACCTAATTTTAATTTACATGGAATTAAACTGATCCGGACGATAAAATAAATAAAATAAACAAACAATTAAATAAATAAGTAAAAACTTTCCAATTTTTTCAATAAAAGTTTTTGTTAGCAGCGAAATAATTTAATTTCAATATTCTATCAATATTTCGCAAAGGTTATGGAGGCAATAACATTTTTAATGTATAATTCTCAAAAATATTAAGTACAATATCACTTGCTGTTAGCGGATTTTAACTTTAAAAGCTATTCAGGCTTGCGGCAAAGTAAGATCAATTGGGACGTAGTAACAAATCTTTAAGAAACGTGACTAGAATAATTACTGAGCATTGGATGAGAAGATGCGGCATAATTATATCGCAATGAATGAACGAACGAAGCGATAACAACATTGAGATCACAATATCTATTCTCAAAACATCAAACTATTTTCAACTGCGCGTGCTTAGGTATTTTCGAACAAATGTTATGTTGAATTGAAAGTTAGAAATTAGTGAATTGGGAAATAACTGCAAGTTACAATAGTGTGAGGTCAGAAACGACATTGGCCTCAGGAGACTTCATTAACATATTCGAAGATCGTTTTATATCGCTCCGTCGAGCACATCCAGCAGATTCGCCTCGAAGAAACATTCATCTCTGAACATTTAATAATATTAAGAGTTTTGTCATTTGTTGGTCTGTTGAAAAACGCTGAAAAAAACATTTCAAATTACTCACTTTGTTTTTCAAATCCTCATTGCAATCACAATGTTTTTGATATGGATTTTATGAATAAATAAGATGAATATTCTTAATCTATGCCCTACCGCTTGGGATTTTAACGTATTCAGAGACCTTTTGATTGAATAAACCACGTTAAGAAGCTGTTAAGATGGTTAAGTCCGATTAATAAATGTTAATATGAATAATTATTACTGAAGGGATATACTGTATTTAAAAATTCGAAAAAATCACCCAATAGAAAAGTTATTTCCGCCGATATTGAAGAATTTTTAACTTTTTTTTATAATTTCTTGCCTATTTCATCCACTTATTATTACAAAACGAGACGTCTGCAAGCTTTCAACTATCAGCTCCATGTAATTACGAAGCGTTCCGTTTTATTTTCTTCACTCAATTTTCGTTTTATTTGTCTATTTTTAACATCACCTTTTCTCATTTCCCGCCAATGAACTTATGGATAAATAAAAATATTAAGATTTAGATGCATCAGCAATTTGTGCTATATGAAAAGTTGTTAACCTGATGTAATGTTAGTATATGATAGTAGGTTACCCTGACATTGCGCATTGAGAAAGTTGAATGGTGGGGTGCAGTCGAGACCACACAAATACAGAAACGTGAAAAAGACCAGCCCAATGTTTCATCTAAGCGTATCTCCTCTTCATTAGCCTGATACTTTCAAGTTTTAATAACGGTACAGTACAAGACAGAGTACAGAACTGAAATGGAAAACTATCACAGTGTGCGGATGATCTAATTCAGTGCTCAACAGTGGTGTTGAACAGGACGGTGCTGGTCCGCAGACACACAGCCGCAAGCACGCGCAAGCTGCTTAAATGTTATGTTGAAAATTAATGAGCTAAACTCTAGCTTTGATTTGACCAGAAACGCAACAAAAATAGTCAAATACTACTAATGAGAGAAATCGGCTGCGTGAATTGTTGGATCATGTGAGGTGATGGAAGTAAGGAAGTGAGCAAGCGAAAGAAAGCACGACTTATAAATCAACCAGATTCCATGATGGTGAGACAAGTATAATGCGTAAACGTGGTTAGCTGCTTGAAAAACACGTGATTTAGGCGAGTATAGAAATGTGCGCGCGAACGCCGACCTATCCAACATTAAATGCTCATGTTGAGATGAGCCTGTTATATCCATGGCCTGATCAGCTGTTTAAAGACGGTTACAATAAATAAGAACGGAATGAAAGTACAACATAGAGACGTTCGTCAAAAAAGCATTTTTGTTTTAATCTGGTTTGGACAGACTAAATTATTACGCAATTTATTAAAATTTATTGAAACATAAAATCTTTAAAATAATAGTTAGGTAAGTTTTTTTTTGTAATTTCATGTTATTTTGATTGTATTGAAACCGTTTGTTTGCCTAAAAATTATAGTAAACTTTTTGCCTGCTGAAATGAAATTACTTTACTGGAATTAAAGATAATTTGACAGTTAGATTATGAAATAATCATTTGGAGCTTGCCGTTGGCTAAAATGACCAATGGCTGAAAATGCAATTTAAAAACGTGCCGCTTTATAGATCAGCATTAAGGCAGAATGACAAGAGCTCACAGATTGAGCAATAAAACATTCCTCTTCCACCTCCTCTCACCTATTTTATGTTAATTCGGATTCTCATGCATGATCGTGACGAAGACCAAATACAGAAACTGTTCGGACGTTTGTTGGTGCTACGTAAGGCACTCTCTTATTTCAATATTGTGTATGTGTGGTGCCTGCACGCAACGCTCTGCGGTATTCGTCTGGTGGAAATTTGCGTCACGCCTATTAAATTCAATACCGGTTCCAGGAACCAATAAGTTTGCGGAGCACTGGTGGTGTTGATTATGGATGAACATATTGAGCAGCTTTTGGGCAAAGACGTAAACATCAAGTCGCCGGATAATTAAGAAGCAGTTGCGTGGTGACCTTGTTCGAATGCAGAGAATTCCGACTAACGTTCTCTCATCGTAAAACTTGTTATTACACACGTTTTTTACGAATGCGATACAAAATAACGTTTATTTTTCAAAATTGATAAAAATGAACACAAATTATCTCATATCAAACATTGTAATATACACCAAAGCTCTTACTTCATTTAAATAATTAGTGATGAAAAATTTCCTCTCACTGGTTCACGGATACATGATTAGTATTGCAAGTGAAAACAGAAAAAAATGATTCCTGAAACCTCAGCATCAAATATTTGTGCTCATCACGATTCAAGATCATGCGTGCCTTCTCAAATTAAAACATCAAATATTTAAAATAAATTGTCATTAAGCTAAACTCAGAATTTTTGTAAGATATACATAAAATGTACAATTTATAAATTCTCTTGCAAATGTAAAAGTTCTTTCGAAGTAGCTATTAGGTCAGTGATTATTTTTTTGATAAAAGACATATGACGTATGGCTGTAAAAATGTTAGTTAGTTAGTTACATTACAAAAATATTTGTTGCAAGATAAATCTCAAACTAGTTATAAAATTGAAAGAAACTCAAAAACAACAACAATAATAACGGCAATGACAACAACGACATTAACAATAACAAAATAATAAGTAAACGAAATGCAGCTGAAATCTAATTAGCCTGAACAGTTCATGTAGTTTGATGGTGAGGATGCTTCTTTGGAATGCTTTCAAGTGATTGAATTATGCTGTGTGGAGTAATTGAAAATTATCAAATTTAACAGTAAATGACTTCAAAGCCCAGGATGAAAGTGAATACCTTGTGCAACTTGGCCGCCATACATTTCAGCAGCCTGCTTCTGTCTCAAGAGGTTGGTCTCTTCAAATATCAACTTCTTCAACTGCTCCTTAGGCAGGTCATCCAACTCAGTTTCAAAAGTGAACGGCTCACTGGCAACGGGCTGATTATGTTCAGACGCAAGAGTCGTCGTCATCATCATTATCATCACCATCACCATCAATTAAGTTGCCAAATTTTTAGAAAACGATCATTACTAAAACTTAATAACTCATCTGCCAGTTCATGAAGAGTTAGTTACAAATGAAGATAATCTAGAGATGCAATTATAATATAAATAAAGATTTCTAATCTAAGATACCCTAAATATATGGCTAACCATACATGAAGATAATTCAAACGTAATCAGAACAATTTTCTAAATTGAAGATGATAAAATAAATTTTATCATATTATAAAAGACACATCAAGATTCCTTCGGAGTAAACAGAAGTGCGCAAATGATATGAAAGGAAAGCAAACACATCAACAACTTCAACAGACAGCTTCAAACTGACCATGCGCCACACAAAAACAGCCGCAAACGAGCAGAACAAACAGGCATAGAGGGACACAGACACAGACAGATGAAAACAAAAACCTCATCAGCGGGGTCATAGTACTGATCGAGATATCGATGAGCAAGAGCTTCTTCCACCGTTATCCTCTTGTGAGGGTTGAAGGTCAACAACTTGTCCAATAAGTCGAGGGCTTCATTTGTTTGTGTGTTTGTTTGCGTGAATATTTGCTTTTGTGTGTGATTGCTAATCTGTTTGTGCGTGTTGAACAAATATTATAGGCTCAAAATTATGAAATGTATCACTCTGCACTTGTGCAACCGGACAGGAAGAAGAAGAAAAAATAAATTAGTGAGACACTATAACTTGAAACACAAGTGAATAAATAACATGAAGATATGAAAAGAGAACATCATGCAAAACAGTACAAAAAGTATGAAGGTATGAAGGACAGACCGTCAGGATCAGCGGTCGGGTACAACTTGTTCCACGGTTGTTTGGGTTTGAACGGCAGAGACTGCAGGTACCCTCTGGCCTGCGTTGCAATTGAATCATCTCACTTGTATATCATTTAAATTATTTCACCACACTTCAATTGAATATTCTATTTTTGATTTCAACATAAAATTAGAAACAAGAAACTTCCGTTGTTAACAAGGTGTGCAAGTAACCTTTTCATTGATGATGGAGTTGAGATCCTCCTGGGATGGAGACCCAAGCACTCCCAGAATGTGGTTCAACTGGTCCAGGTCTTGTGAAGGAACGTCAGATTCAATTGATAGTGGATCATTTTATGGATTATTAATAAACTGGTAAATAGTGAATAATGCAAAAAGAGAATCCTAATTAAGAAGAGATTCATACTTCACAAAAAGCAACATAGCAAATAAGGTGAAGAAGAAGCCAAACAATAAACAGTACTTACAATGTTTGCCAGGGAAGATGGGCTTGTTGGATAGGAGTTCAGCAAGTATGCACCCTACAGACCACACATCAACTAATCACATCCACAAGTTAGAGAAAATTTAAATAACTTCAAATAATAAATAACTCTAACAAATGACATCATCGTCTAAAATCATCACCATCTTCAACATCGTAATCATCATACCAGCGTCATCCTAATCATCTCATCATTGTTGTATCACCCATCATCTGTTGTCCATTATCTCCTAACATTATCACCCATGTCATAATTGAAACAACTCATCATTTGAGTTAATTTAACATTCATGTACATGAAGTTATACTCCGGCCTTACATTCGTGACTGAAATGTAAGGTACACAAATCACTTGGGCACAATTTAAATGTTTTCAATTACAAAAACGTCACAATCTTTAGCATAAGGATACTGGCTTTGCTGTATCCCTTAGAACTGAGCATGATCTCAGGAGCTCTGTACCAGCGTGTTGCAACATATTCAGTGAGAAAACCTGTGTGGTCGTGGTTCGGGTCAGCAACCCTTGCCAAACCAAAGTCACATATCTGAAGGTTCAACATTTTTACAAATTTTTACTGAATAACTTCATTATTTCCATGCTCAAATAATAAATCAACAATTAACTAATCACAAAATAATTAGATCAAAAATCAAATGTATGATCAAAAAGTAATTAATCATGAAACATGTTGCCTCGATAACTTCATGTGAAATCTTAACAAAAATGATTCGCATGATGAACTCAAATGAAAATGCGTAGATAGTTCATCCAAATTATTCTAATGGAGACATTAATGCTTTGATATGCAACAGAATCTTATAAAAAATAAAATTTTTAAACCAAATGAAATATCCCATGATACATCTATCACTGAGATGAAGAAAAACCTTCAAATCGCAAGTAGTGTTGACCAGCAAGTTGCTCGGCTTCAAATCCCTGTGCAAGACATTAGCAGAGTGGATGTACTTGAGGCCTCTCATTATCTGGTAGGTGAAGTAGCACACGTGGTCGTTGCTCAACTTCTGGGTCTTCAACAGTTTGTACAAGTCTGTCTCCATGAGGCACTGCACTATGTAACTGTTGGTCAGCCATTCACGGTCAAGTACTCAACAACAAGTGTGGTTGTTAGTCATGGGTGTGCATGCACACATGTGAAGACAAGCACAACATGCAGGCAGGCATTCAACGTGTGAAGATTAACATAAAAACACGTACAGACTCAATATATATTAAGATCACACAAACAACATTGCAATTGAAAGAAAGTAAGCAGCACAGTGAACGAAAGACACGAAGCACTGAGTAAGGATACACATCTTTCATCTCATCAACAGTCGGTGCCCTTATGATGTCTTGAATGTTTATAATCTGCATAAATATTACAAATGTATATATATATATTTATTTATTTATATTTATATATACAGATTTAACAACCAAAATACGTTAATGCATTAGAACAATGAGTGGCAAATCGCAAAAACAAAAGAGAGCAGTTTATAAAATGAAAGTGTCTCACATTTTCGTGTCTTAATCTTGTAAGTATTTTAATTTCTCTCAAAGTCCTTTGGCAGTAGGTTTGATGTTCAAATGGTGAAATCTTCTTGATAGCCACCTTCGTCTTGGTCAGATGGTCAATGGCTGACCTGCATCACAGATTAATGTCCACTATTAAATATTGATGATCAGTGTCACAAGCGGCAAAAATGTAAACAAGTCTCAACAATTAATATGAATTTTTATCATCTTTCAGATTTGGTTCTCTCGGATTGCGTGATTTTAAATGAATTTGTAATGAAAATATTCGGAAACCAAATTGCCTAATGTAAGGAATAAGTCGCAACAAAAATGCGTTGTAAAGATTCAAATACTGAAGACAGAAACTTAACTGCATTGAGACAAAACATGCAAGATGTGCTGGTATTAGAACAAAATCAATTCTTCAAAGGTATATATTATATATCAATATATCTTTACATATATATATATATATATCATTATATATATATATAATGTTGAACGTTGAACAACAATGAACAGCCTAAGGAATCAATACCAATATCGACAATAACAAACCAACATAAACAACATTCAAGACCATCTAAATAATAACAACTTAATTGTCAACAGTAAATTTTTAGCAAAAGAACATAACTGATTCATCAAAATGACTGAGCAACAACTTCATCATAATTTCTGTCTAGAGGAAAAATAAATTCATTAATGAAGTGTTCGGGTTAGATTTAAAAATGAACGACATGGCAAAAGTGTTATCTCATCTCATTACATCTTGACATTATTGGCATATATTGAGAAGAATGTCACATTCCTCTTTATTCAAGCGGTTTTCCTAATCAAGAACAACAAAAAACCAAAGTGACTTGACATAATATAAGAAGATAAAAAAAAAATTGAATCACTAATAAAACCACAAACAGCAGGATGACGTCACAAACAACATCTAATAATTTTTTCCTAGATGACAAAGATTATCAATACAAAAAACTGAAAATTTTAAGAACTGTGAATAAAGAAACCAAAACAAATATGAAAATTCAGATCATAAACTGAGTTATTGATATTTATCATTTTAAGAAGGGGTTGATAAATTTGCATAAACTTTAAATTAACAACCATTCTTTAAACTAAATTATATTATTAAAGAAAAAAGTATTTAAAAAAATATATAACCAATTTTAATTTTTATCATTAGTAAGAGAGCCTGTAAAAATAAAAAGGTAAAAAATAACAAATGAAATAAATTTGTTTAATCAATGCAGCTCTTTACTTTTTCTTTAGCAACAATTCCACTATTTACATTTCAACTACAATCAACTTTTTAGGTTTTTATTATCTTTTAATAATTTTAATTTTAATCTAACAACTTAACAATTAAATTAAATAAATTATAAATTGAATTTATTTTTAATAATTTTAATTTCCTATTCTGAAAAATGTCATTTTAATTTTTTAGTTAACACCGAATCCATTTGTAACAAATAAACGATTCGGTGGAAAAAAATCCCCACACGTCACGCACATGTTTCGTTTTTCTTCGATAAATTAATTTTTATCTACATCTCCATAACCATGGACTCCATCTTTGAATGAAAATTTATTCAGTGAAAAAAGTTACTAACACAACCATTCCATAGGCCCCCTCTCCGATGTAGACCAGATTAGAGTAGCGGGGTCCAACCTCGAACGGATGATCCCTAACGTACTCCACCGTCGATCCGGTTTTGCAATTTGCTGACAGCGATTCACACTCCATTTGGTATTTGTATTTTTTTTTTGACAATCAAATTAGATCGATGTTTGAAAATTAATAATTTTAAAAACAAGAAGGCCAAAACGCGTGCAGATTAAAAAATAATTACTTTACTTAAATGTAATGCCAAATTATCAACTCAGCATATTCTATCCAATAGAATGTAAAAAGTAAGACCAGTATTTTTAACTAAGAAGAAAATATCATTTTCCAAACGACATTCCATTTTTGTTTCAAGACCACATCTACCACAATGTTTAGAACAGAAGCAACAAAGGTGAAAATTAAATTAAATCAACAGAATCAACATCAATAATGAAGACGAAACAACAACCACAAAAAACTATAACAATAGCATTATTACCAAACAGATACGAATCAGAAGTCGTGAACATTTCGGTGGTAGCACGGGAGCCGACAACATTCATCAGTCAATCAATCAATCAATCAATTAGCTTATAAAGCGCTATTTCCGCGATGTTCAACAGCGCTCCTCAATGAATTTTGAAAACAGATGGGTCTTGAGATCCGCTCTGAACTTCGCAAGTGATGGAGAAATAGTTAGAGAAGTAGGTAGAGAGTTCCAGAGAAAAGGACCAGAAAAAGCAAAAGCAGATTTGGCAAAAGAGTGTTTAACACGAGTTAAGAAAAAGCGAGAAGAAGAAGACGATCGTAAACCGGGGCGTTTAGGGTCAATTAATATATCTGATAAGTACTTAGGAAATAATTTAGATTGAGACTTATACATGAACATGCAAATTTTAAAAATTATTCTATATTTTATAGGTAGCCAGTGCAAGAGAACAAGATATGGAGATATATAAGAAAAGAAAGGGGCACGAGCAACTAGACGAGCAGCAGAGTTAAAAGCTTTACTTAAAGGATAGAGTATAGAGTCAGGAAGACCATAGTAGAGCGAGTTACAATAATCAATCCTAGATAAGACTAACGAAGTAACAAGAAGGAGAAGAGTAGGATCATCAAGAAAAGGCAAAAGTTTTTTTATTCTACGTAGATGAAAGTAAGAACTTCTAGCAACACTATTAATCTGAGAAGAGAGAGACATAGTAGAATCAAAGATAAAACCTAGACTGCGAAACTTATGAGAGACATCAAGAGTTTTAGAATCAGGTAAGATAATAGGAGGAATAGTAATTGAGTGTTTAGATTTAT